CTCCCGAACAACGCATCACCGCATCTGCTGTGGACAGGAAAACTGGGCAACACAAAAATGTTACGAGTTTTCGGGTGCATGGTACAGTACCGACCGCACACTGCAAGAGCCGGACGATTTTCCCAACGCGCACAATGGGGACTACACCTGGGCATCGAAAAGCATTACAACGCATGGAAGATTTTCGACGTCCACTCGAAAGAAACAGTAGCAGCACGTGATGTCATTTTCTACGAGCGACTCCCACTTCAAACGTACCTGGACAACCTGGCAGCAAATCGAAACCTCACGGGCGGCTTCCGTGGCATCCGAGCTTTCGCCTCAGCAGCAGACGAAGCTGACTGGGACGAGCAGAACATGGACGGAGCTTCGAAGGAAGCCGGACCTCTTCCGTATTGCTCAGTGGACATCCCCATGGACGACGATAACCCTCGCGAAAGTGTCAACGCCGAAACCTACTGCGACTTCGCCGACACCGGTTACGTTACACCCCAACCGGTCGACACCAACGTCTCCGAACGCATAGGACCCAACTTCCTCCCAGATCTAGAGTCGGGAGATGAAGCAGCTTATCCCGAGGATGCAAATCTTCCCCGCTACACACAAAGTGGACTGCAGATACTAGGACTCGTCACCGTTGTCCACGGAGCAGCACCACCAAGGAGCCTGCCAACATTCAGCAGGCTCTGGGGGGGGAACACAAGGAAAAATGGCGCGAAGCCATGGACAGAGAGTTAAAGGCGCTGCAGGAACGCAACACCTGGAAAGTCGTGCCTATCGGAGTGGCACGCAACAAGACCATTCTTTCAGAGGTCCACTGGTGATCCCCGATTGATCCTAGGGAAGGGTTACAGGCTCGTTGTCCTGGGGGGTTATGGGCGCACTCACCCGCTACTTAACAAGCCCTTTTATCCCAATGGTCTAGTGGTTGGGATTCTGACATGGTATCAGAGTGAAGGTCTCGGGTTCGAATCCCAGTGTGTGCACTTCGGGCATCCCAGTGCGGGGGGGTGTCAGAGGTCCACTGGTGATCCCCGATTGATCCTAGGGAAGGGTTACAGGCTCGTTGTCCTGGGGGGTTATGGGCGCACTGACCCGCTACTTAACAAGCCCTTTTATCCCAATGGTCTAGTGGTTGGGATTCTGACACATTCTCACGGGAAAATGGTTTTTCCGCGCGAAAACAAAAGCCGACGGAACAATCGACAAATTCAAGGCACGCTGGGTCGTGCGCGGCTTCGACCAAGAGCATGGAAGAGACTTCACGGAAACATTCGCACCAGTTAGTCGACATACCTCACTGCGGATTCTCCTCGCGATAGCCGCCATGAACCGGAAGAAACGTCGACAAATCGACGTCGCCAACGCCTTTCTTTACGCCCCTGTCGATGCTGAGATCTTCGTCGAAAGCCCACATGGGTCCAATGCAGACCCCAACCAAGTTTGTCAGTTGCAAAAGTTGCTGTACGGAATCAAACAAGCCCCAAGACTGTGGCAGCAGCATCTTCACGCCCGCCTAGTCCGCATCGGATTCTGCCAACTACCGCACGACCAATGGATGTACCGACTCACTAAAGAGACCAACTACATCCTACTCATCGTCTACGTAGACGACCTTCTCTACATAGGCTCCACCGACGACATAACAACCTGGTTTGAAAGGGAGCTGTAGCGAGATCTGACACTCACCGTCGCAACTACCGTGACACAGTACCTAGGACTCAATATACAAGACGGCGACAACACAATCTACCTCAGCGCCGAAAAATACACGGACACCATCGCTAAACGATTCGGACTTACTCCAACTACCATCACCACGCCATACCGCTACACCGACGGAAATCGAAAAATCTCCGCCCTACTCAAACACGCCGTCATTCGCGACTACCAACGAAAGCTAGGCTGTCTACTCTTCGCAGCCGTTACCTGCCGACTGGATCTATCTTACTCAGCTAGTCAACTCGCCACCTACCTCAAGAAGCCTGAAGCAGAACACATGATGGAGCTCGACCGTGCAGTTCACTACCTCGTCAGTACCCCGACGATCGGATTAACATACCACAAGACCGGAACTACGACACCTAAGTTAATCGGCTACGTCGACGCCGATCACGCTGGAGATTCTGACAACAGGCGATCTCGTACTGACTACATCTACCGACCCGAACCTATCGGCCCTATCTCATGGCAGTCAAACAAGCAAGAGATAATCGCTCTCTCCTCAGCCGAAGCAGAATATATCGCACTCTGCTCAGCCACCAAGGAAGGGCTATATCTTCGCGAATTGCTAAAGGAAGCAAAATTGGCTCAATTACCCAGCTTCTCCCTCTTTTGCGACAACCAATCGGCTATTCGCATAGCGAACAAAAATGGGTTCGCGAATCGAACGAAGCACTTCGCCCTCCGGTACTTTTTCGTAAAAGACGAGATCGAGAAGGGAAGACTCGAGCTATCCTACTGTCCCACATCCGAGATGGCAGCCGATTACTTGACCAAGAAACTCGGAAAACAGAAGTTCGAGTACTGCATGCTGCTGACTGGACAAGGATACGTCATCAGCAGCGACACTCCAGAAGCGAAGGGGAGTGTTGGAATTGGAAACAAGTATCTAACGCTTCTGAAGTAATCGAAGTATCGACACGAGAACGGAGCGAACTACAGCGAAACAACACGCGAGTCAACAACCGTAACAGCTGGAGGTTACGCGAAGGTCAAAGGTCGCTGACCTTTGACTCGACGAAAAATACAGTACGACAGCAAGGACACATAAGTGACTCGATACTGAGCAGTTACCCGAGTCGTCACTGTATCGAACCGCAACAGCAGAAAACAGTTAATGTAGAACCTTTCATATTCCTTGTAATCATATAAAAGCTTTGTATGTCTTTGCTATTATCAACTTATCTTGCTCTCACATACTAGCGCAGGGTGGTTCAAGTATTCTTATTATCACGCTTCCGCAAACTACAACATCCTTACTACAAAAGATCTTAAGGTACTCCTCGTGAAGCGCCACCCCAAGCCGTTTCCGACGCTCCTTCAGATCGGTCTTGGTCACGGCTAGATCGGCACACCAATCATATTCGGCAAGTTCGCCTCTCGTCCACCAGGGGTCTTGGTTAATCAACCGCGCTGCCCACGTGTGATTTGTCGTTTTCAACCTTGCACTCGCCATCTTGAGTCCCATGTTGTGCAGGATTACCACACAACTGGCGCCGGCAAGGACTCGCCATAACGCACACTCATGTCGTCCAGCGAAGAGGCGGTATCGTCCTTTGAGTTGGCCGATAGTTCGCTCCACCGGCATGCGTGTTGCGGATTGGCAATAATTGAAGGTTTGCTCCCACTCGAGCATTAGGCGTCCGGTAGGAGCATGTAATGGAGTAAGGCAGTAGCTCCGGAGTGGGTAGGCGGCGTCGCCCAGCAGTTGATATGGCGCGATGTCGCCCCTTTCTAGTCTTTCGTAGAGGCTTGACAGGACAAACACCCTCTGGTTATGCGCGGTGCCTGGATAGCCGATTAGATAGTCCCATATCATCCCTCTTGCATCGCATGTAACTTGAAGCTGCACGGCGTATTGTGATTTCCGCGTGTAGTATTCTGCCCTGTGGCCCTCCATTCCGCGAATTTGTACGTGTGTACCGTCAATTGCACCCACCACCATGGGCACACCTTTGATGCCCCTAAACTCTTCCGCCATGTCGTGCATCTCCTCTTGTGTTGGGAAACGGACCCAGGCTGCTTTGAAGATGGTTGGAAAGTTCTGAAGGAAGATGTCGACGAGGCGATGACATAGTGTTTTTGGCACGCCAAACCAAAACGCAAGGTCCACGTACGCCATGGCACTCGCAAAGTACTTGATCGGTATGAGCACGGCGACCTTCATCGGAATGCAATGTCGTTGTATGACGGGGTTTAGCACGTGAGCCATGCCTTCGCTTATGTAATCCAGAATAGCGCGATTGATGCGGAAAAGGTCGATGAAGGTCTCTTCGGACATTGAAGCCATTTCGTCCTCCCAGACGCCGAGGCGTCGCCGCCGTAAGAGACGATTTCGCGCTCGTAATTCCCCTCGCGTCTCATAATTAGTATCTTCTAGTTCAGCTGTGCTAATCTGCTCCAGAAGCTTACTGCACGAGTTTATTGCACTGTTTAAGAAGGTGTCGAAGTAAAATGCGTGCCAGACTATTAACAGCCGTGGCAGGAAGGGAACGTCTGTCATTTTGAAGAGGCCTCTACATGGGTACTTTGCCGATCGTGGTGGGTTTTCGTACTATTTACCGGCTTTCAATGTGGTCTGGGTTAGAGGACTGAAATGTGCTTCTCGGGTGGAGACATTTTGGTGCTCGTCCCACCCTATGCTCTCGTGGCACGTTTTTTATGTTCGTCGGGGCGCTTGTTCATGCTGGGTCGCAACATGCCACATCAGCTTTTGATTGGAGTCGCACATGTGGGTTAACCGGCAACTTTTTCTGATACGAGGTTTTGGCGAGGTTGTCAATTTACAGGCAGGAGGAGCATTCTTGATACGAGGTGGCCCCGTAGGAATACGCTCTTAGCCTTGAAAAAGATCCTAAGGGCTTTTTCTCAGCCCAACAGGTATGATGGTACCGTAGTATAGAAGAACGACTGCCTGGTTGTGTGTAAGAGCACCTCATGATGGGGGTTGGCGCATCAGTTGGCAGTAAGGTGAAGTGTTATATTCTTGTTACCCCAATAAATAAAATATCACAATGAAGCAAAATCTACCTGCCTACCAGCTACTGTTGCACAACCTCACTGGTCTAAAAGAGTAGTTGGCAGCTGAAGTGAAGGGAGAATAGGAGACATAAACAACCTGCCTACCTGCGTGCAACAGCCTATCAAGACACCTCTTCAACCTAAACCGCCTCTAGTGTGGTACCCAGAGCACCACATTATAACTGCAACGGAGGGACTTCCACGATCACATGCTTGCCATCCTGGCCTTCATCACATGCTTGCCATCCTGGCCTTCATCACATGCTTGCCATCCTGGCCTTCATCACATGCTTGCCATCCTGGCCTTCATTCCTCATATTTCCCTTTGCTGCCTTTATCTCAGCTGTTGCACCCGACCCTTGCATGGGGTCATGCACTGGGATCACCACTTGATCCCCTGGCGCAGTAGTAGGAGCTTCTCTTGCAGCGTCGGCTGCAGCTGGGGTAAGTGCACTTGCACCAGCAGGACCGAAACCACCTGCAGCAGCAGCAGCAGCAGGAGGCGTAGCAGCAGCCTTTGCAGCAGCCTTTGCGGCAGCCCTTGCAGCAGCCCTTGCAGCGGCGGGGGAGGCAGGAGGCGGGGCAATAGCCTTCGCTCCTTCTTTACCACTCCCCTTGCCCTCCGCCTTCCTCTCCGCAACCCCACCCTCGTCCCCTTCCCCCTCCTCCTCTCCTACAGTCATCAACCCCTCTCCCCCCCGCGCCTTACCCGCCTGCTCCTTCGCATCTACCAGCACTCTCAGCACAGCAGCCATTTCCGGCCGTGCCCGCGTGGGCCGCACGCACTGTAGCGCCACCTGTAGCACGCGCAGCAAGGCTCCCGCGTCGTACTCGCAGCCCAGACGGCTGTCCGCTACAGCCGCTACATCCCTCGCCTGCACGTACGGACCTACCCAGTGGGAGATATGCACGGGACCCGCATTGTCCCGCGCGGGAGCAGGGGCCGATCCGTGTGCTCCTTTCTTCCCTGCCGCTGCCTTGGTATCCTCTTCCGCCTCGTCTTTCTTCCTAGCATTGTCATCTTTCCCTCCTCCTCCTCCTCCTCCTCCTCCTCCTCCTCCTCCTCCTCCTCCTCCTCCTCCTCCTCCTCCTCCTCCTCCTCCTCCTCCTCCTCCTCCTCCTCCTCCTCCCCCTCCTACTTCTGCTCCCCCACCCTTTTCTCCGCCTCCCGCTGCTGCTGCGTCGGCCGTCTCCTTCTCCGCTCCATTCCGCTTTGCGGGGGTTCCGCCTCCCGCCTGTGCCCCTTTCTGCGGAAGCTTTATAATGGCCCTTTGCCCCGTGAACAGTTCCAGTAACACCACACCGAAGCTGTACACATCCCCTTTAGTAGTCACCTTCGATGTTCGATGATAGTCTGGGTCCAGGTAACCGGGTGTACCGGCCACCCGTGTAAAGGCGGATGTAGCTGCACCTGCGGAATCCCCAGCTCCAAGCATACTCTTCAGCAGGCCGAAATCGCCCAGTTTTACGTTCAAGTTCTGATCCAAAAGAATGTTATCGGGCTTAATATCGCGGTGCACTATAGGGGGGTTTACAGCCGTGTGCAAGTAATGCAGCGCCTCGGCTGTTCCTATAGCGATGTCTAAGCGTTGGGTGAAAGTCAAGTGCGGGCGAGACTTGGAAAGAGCAGAACCGAGTGATCCGTTAGCAGCAAGCTCATAAACGAGGATATACTCGCCCCCCTCCATGCAGTAACCCAGCAGTCGCACGAGGCTCTTGTGCGAAAGTCGCGAAATCAGAAACACCTCTTTCTCGAAATCGCGAGCGCCGGCGGAACCTTCCGCCAGCGGCCGCTTCGACCGCTTGACCGCCCACCCCACGTCCCCGGGCCCTTTTCCCCGGAACACCACCGCAAAACCCCCTTCGCCGATGAAATTGCGCGGACTGAACCATCCCGTCGCATCGCGCACTTCATCCAATGTCATCTTCCGAAACAGCCCCGCTTTAAGCTGATCCTCCCAGGAAGGGCTTTTCTGAGGTTGCTTTCGCGGAGATGGAGACTCTTGCTTCACCGGAGCGTTGCCTGCGGCGCCTCCGCCGGCGGCTCCTGCGGCGCCCGGTGAAGCATGATAGGGAGCGAGCGCGCGTCGGTAATCCGGGGTAAACTGCGGCGGAGTGTTGCTCGGGGGAAGCGCTAAGTGCTGCGGGCGCGGAGACGGGTACGCGCCATTCACATGGGGGCTCGGGGGGCCGCGCGAGGGGTACGCGCTGTTCGGTGCGGCGAGGCTGTTGACTCGCGGGGATGTACCCGTTGACGAAGGCTGTCTCGTGTAACCAGCTTTCGCGGGAAGGAGAGGCGGTCGCTTGGAAAGGCCGCCGCGACGGCGATGCAGACAGGAGAGGTAGATGACGCACGAGATGACCGAGGAGACGAGCAAGAACGCGGCTCCCGCTATGCCGACGACTACTGCAAGCGGAAGCTCGAAGAATAAGAGCTTAACCATGGCTAGCGGACAGGGAGGCGGAAAGGGGTTCAAGAGCCGAGTTGGGTGGAGTGCCGCTCAGGTGAGTGATTGGGATGCGCGGCTCAAATTCCGGCGTGGCCGCGGAATGGTCTGTTTTTTACGGTTAAAGAAGAATGCTTAAACGGCGACGCGGACTCGCGCGACGGTCAGGCTGTGGAGGGTAAGCGCTGTTAACAGCATATGGAGCCTGCGGAAACTGCGGCTTAGGAGCCGCCGACTACGTCAAATACCAGAGCCGCATACGCGAGGAGCGGCAAGCCCCATGGTGGAGTCAGAGCATGGACTGGCGCCACAATGAGACGCTATACTCTTCGGCCATGGTGAAACTGGACATAGCGTATATATTCTCTATGTAAAAAAATGGTTGATCCAGTTAGCGATGCCACTGCCCGGAGAACAAGGCTGCCTGATTCTTGGACTGCAATAGCTCAAGGTAAGGCTCACTGAGAGGTTAGGAAAAGAAGCTAGCCTATCCAGCTTCCAGTTACGCGAAGGAATGGAAGGTGGCTGAAGGGGCTGGTGGAGGTGCTGGTTGCCACATGCTGCAATCTTTCCTCTCGCGTCTGATGAGGACCACGAATGCACGAAGAAGAGAGAAATGGCTCGGATGGCACAAGTGCGAGGCGCACATTCGAACACGACCCGACACGGCAAGCACATTTGGTGAAAGAGGGGCATGGTTGCATTTGGATGGTTAGATTCGAACTTTCTGTTTGTCAAACAAAATCTGTGCCGTAAAATTGCTCTGGTAGCCCAGGGAGTTCTTGTAGTCGCGGCTCGTCCTTGGCGAGGGTGGTATGGGAAGAGGCTCGGGGTGCCGAAGGAGCGAGTTTGGGTGGCACTGATTTTCATAATACTTAACAAGTGAGAGACAGGTTGGGGTTGCATGTCGGGTGCTGCATGAGAATTGAGTTCATTTATCGCTAAGTATTGCTGAGTGCTCTGCAGGGACAAACAGAAATGCCGAGCCTCTATGGTATGTGGACGTGCCACTTGCCTAGTTTACACCAAACGAACCAGCATCATGCTGACTCGGCCAGTCTAGCGCTTCCACAACAAGCAGGTCTGATAAATCTAGAGGGAGATTTTGGTACAAGAAAGCCACCATAAGCAGGTCCTAGACTGTAACGGATTATTCGATTGATGTGTGGTGTTAAGAAAAGTAATATTAGATTCGGAAATTTTTCTGAAGGAAATAGTTTTAAATAATATTAATTTTGATGCGACGTGATGGGTTTATTGATATGATGTGGTTGCAACATGAATATATTTGTATTTTTAGAGTCTGGGAATCTGTCCGAACGGTGTACTGGTATGTAAGGGTTTTGATCAATCTTTCCAGAAGTATCCAGCGCGTACAAGCCAAGGTATTCCAGTCTCCTAACATCAACTTTCCATGACGGATCTTAGCTTACAGCTCGCCGATGCGCTTTAGGTCTTACAAGGAAATAGGGAAAAGTAAGCGGCGCGGGGTTAAGTAGTTGATTAGCCATGGCGGGTCGCGGCAGGGGTCGCGAAATGACTCTCCCCGCCTGTAAGCATCTTCACCCTCCCCATTCCTTCCTCACATCCTTTCTTTCTCCCGGTCCTTTCTCCCGGTTTTTTTCCGCGACGCCTTGGAATTATGATTACTATCTCGTCTTCATTTCTTCGTTGATTACCGTACGCTTCTGGACCAGGTAGCGTAAGAGTCGAGCTAGAAAAGAAATGGACAAAGTAATCAGTTCGCTTTCATTTCTTTACTTTTCATTTTTACAGCATGCCTCCTTTAGACATGCCATGCAACCCTTGTCATGCTTTGCCATGCCATCTTGCAACCGCCCGTGTTTCCTGCTCCTTCATTATCGCGCAGGGATGAAGTCGGCGGGAGGCAATGGCCCCCCTTCAGCTATCGGCGCACGTCCCGAAAATCCCCCCGGACCCCCTGGCGCGGGTCCTTCCCCCCAATCCCCCGCTCCCCAGTTCTCCCCTCATCGCCCACACGGCTTTCCGCCGAACCCCGGCGCGCCACACTTTGCGCGGGGTCCCCCCGCGCGCCCAGGCCCCTTCCCCGGCGGAATGCCCGTGCCCATTGCGCCTCCGCCGCCGCCCAGACCGGGGGGAGGCCCACCACGGCCGATGCTGGGACCTGGTGCCGGACCTCATCCCGGACCTCATTCCGGACCTATTCCCGGACCTGACTCCGGTCCTCCTGGTTTGGGTCTCCACGGCTCGGGACCTCCGGGGGTAATGCCTCTGCGAGGGCCCATGGGGGGGCCAATGATGGTGCGCCCAGGCTTTCCGCCGATGCATCTCCCCCCTGGTGCGCAGGGTTTCCCGGGGGGCGGTCCCCCCGGGCCCCCCGGCCCCCCCGCCCCCCCGGGGCCTCTCCCCGGTCCCCCCGGACCTCCCCCGGGTCCCCCTGGTGCGCCGTTCTCCGGCGGACCTCCCCCGCAGGCAGGCGCGCCTGGGGGAGGGTTTCCGCCGCAGTTCCCCCCACAGCAGATGCGGCCGCAGTTTCCGCCGCAAATGCAGCCGCAAATGGCGCACGGGCAGCAACAGCACCCGCTGCCGCCGCCGCAGCAGCAGCAGCAGCAGCAGCAGCAGCAGCAGCAGCAGCAGCAGCAGCAGCAGCAGCAGCAGCAGCAGCAGCAGCAGCAGCAGGGGGGATGTGCAGGTATTCTGGGGAGGAGCAGCAGCAGCGGAGCTAGTGGCGCAAGCGGGGCAACCCTAGGTCCGGGGACGGGGGTGGTGGTCGCGGTGGTGGTGGGCGATGGTGCAGGGGGAGGCGGAGGCGCGGGGGCGCGCGGGGAGAACGCGGAGGGAGAGGGGGAAGGCGGGAATAAGCGGAAGAAATCCCGCTGGGATATTGATGCGGCTGCCAGGGCGGAGGGTAAAGCGGGTGGGGGAGGGGAGGGAGCGGAGGAAAGGGGGGAAGGCGGGGGAGGGGGGGGAGGCGGAGAAGGTGGGGAAGAGGGGGGGAAAGAGCGCGGGAGGGTCGCTGCAGAGGCAGGAGGTGGTGCTGGAGCCAATGGGGGTGTGGCACGTGGACAGTGGGGGAGCGAGGGGATGGGGAGTGCGGGGAGGGGAGGTCTAGAGGAGGCCGTTCAGTTCGCTGTATTGAAAGACCAGGTGCGTTGGAGGGGGGAAGAGTGTGAGGACGGTGGGTGGGGAAAAGGGAAGCGGGGAAGGAGCGGGGTACAGGAAAGGGGAAGTTGGGAGCCGTGGAGGGGAAGGAAGGGATGCAGTGCGGGGGTGAAAGGGAGAAGGGAGGAGGGGGCAGAAGAGCGGGCACGAGTCCGGGGGTAAAGGGGATAGAAGAAAGGGTAGGTATGGCAAGGTATGGGCAGCTACGGTTGCCAGGTAGTCACTTGGTTGGGTTGGGCATTGCAAGCTAATCTGTACTTTCCCCCTTCATACCCTCCTTTCTCTCTACTCCCTTGCTCTCCTCTTTCCCCTGTTATCTGCCTCGTGTCTTCTTCATCTTCCTTATCAATCAATCCTCCCATCCCTCCAACCGTCCATCCATCCATCCATCCGCCAATACATCTCCCCCCTCTCTTGGCCATGAGAAGGAAGAGGCGGCGCAAGCAGCTCTGGCACGTGGGGCGAGGTGAGATTGCTTTTCGGACTTGATAAGTCGATTTTTTAGTCGACTCAAAAATCGACTTATCACACGTGAGGAAAGGTGGGATTGCTTTCTGGACTTCTGTGGGGTTTTCTGATCTGACTGTCTGCTTCTGAGGCGCCTCATAAGCCCTCTTACTGTTCCCTATATCGTGCCAGATTCTTGCTGCATGCACGTTGTTTGATTGCTATGCTGCTAAATTGCTAGATCGCTCAACTCGTTTGTCAAACAGCACTTCTTATCTAGGAGGCGCCTAGCTGCTTTTCAAATATAGTTGCTCAGGAAGAGGCAGTGGCTTTAGGGTTCTCGTCTCCTGCCCGCACACGCGCTTGTGAACTTGCAATTATACACGCGCCCTGTTCTCTCATAAGGCCATGTTCTCTTGGCCTTTCTCCCTCTTTCTCTCATTCTATCCCCCTGCCCACACGCTCGTGCGAGCAGCCAGGCAGCATCAGGGGACATGGACACATCAGCTGACCCCCAGTCGCTGCTCAACTCTCGCCACGACCCCAACGCCCTCAAGGTACCCGCCTGGCCCCACTCGCTCTCCCTCACTCGCTCTCTCTCACTCGCTCTCCCTCACTCGCTCTCTCTCACTCGCTCTCCCTCACTCGCTCTCTCTCACTCGCTCTCCCTCGCTCGCTCTCCCTCACTCACTCTCCCCCACTCGCCCTCCCACACTCGCCCTCCCCCACTCGCCCTCCCCCACTCGCCCTCCCCCACTCGCCCTCCCCCACTCGCCCTCCCCCTCTCGCCCTCCCCACTTCCTCCTCACCAACCCCTCCACTCGCTCTCCCCACTTACTCTCTCAAACTGCTACTTCTACCTTCGTAGACAGTACTGCTAGCACTCAAGTGCGTCTTGGTGTTGGCACCTTGTCGTTGTGTCCCAATTCTCCATGGCATGGCATGAGATAGCATTGCATGGCCTGGCCCCTGGTATGGGCATGCGCATATGCATGTGTTTGTTGTGTTGTGCGGTGCATGTGCATGTTTTTGTGCGTGCGCCTGTGTCACATGTATGTGCATGTGCATGTGCATGTGCATGTGCATGTGCATGCTCGTATGCTTGCATGTGTTTGTGCGTGCGACTGTGTCACATGTATGTGCGTGTGCATGTTGCTGTGCTTGCATGTGTTTGTGCGTGTGCATGTGCATGTGCTTGTGCTTGCATGTGGCATGGTATCAGGGCAAGCTGCTACAGATGACAGCAGAGCACAGGGCAGAGGCGGCAGAAAGGCGAGAGAGAGGAGACACAGACCACCACCACCACCATGAGCAATATCACCAGCAGCACCACCAGCACCACCCGCAGCAACAGCAGCAGCAGCAGCAGCAGCAGCAGCAGCAGCAGCAGCGGCAGCGGCACCAGCAGCAGCAGCACCACCACCAGCAGCAGCAGCAGCAGCATGAGGAGCATATGGATATAGGCAACGGGTATGGCGTGCCTGGTGGGAGTGCCTCCATGCCTCCTCCTCACGCTGCTCGCCGCCCCATGTTCTCGCTCGTCCCTGAACCGGACTTTAGCCACCCGAGACGCAGGGAGCATGCAGAGCAGCAGCAACAGCAGCAGCAGCAGCAGCAGCAGCAGCAGCAGCAGGGGGGACATCAGCAGCAGCAGCAAGGAGCTGGAAATGTGTCAGGAGCAGCAGAGAAAGGGCCGGGTGATGGGGAAGGGAGGATGGGGCCACCAACATCGCCATCTGCAGCAGCAGCGACAAGAACAGGGAATGAGGGCGGTGGGGGGAATGGAGGTGGGGGAGGTGGAGGAGGAGAAGGAGGGGGAGGCGGAGGGGGAGGGGCAGGGGGGGTGTCAGCGCTACCAGCCGCGTTGCGGGAGCGGCTGCGAGCTCGAGGCATTCTCAAGGAGGGTGGTGGGAAGACTCACGCAGGGGGGACTGCAGCAACGGGCAGTAATAATACCTCTGCTTCTGCTACTCTGGCTGCTCCCACATCGTCTCTCCCTCCTGGCTGGGTAATCTATCTGCTATAATCACACATGTCTCGGCTCGGATCCTGTCGTGTAGTTGAGGCTCCTCCGAAACAGCCTCCTCCTGACTGGGTACTTGTCGGACAACATCTTTCTATCTTTCTTCCCCAGTTCTGGGAAAGAAACAGAGGATATTGTGATTACATCCTCTTTTGAGACGTCTCAAAAGAAACAGAGGATATTATGATTACATCCTTATGACATGTCTCTCAGAACTGGGAGACAGCCGCCCTATGCCCTGCCCTATGTTTCTTGCCCTCCTCCAACCCCTGACCCCCTTCCCACCCACTGGAAGGGCAATTTCCACAATCTCCTCCCGCATTGCTGCATGTTAATACAAGGGAAGGGGTTTTTGAGGTGCCCCGTTTGAGGGGTCCCGCATTACTGCCTCAATACAGCCTTTCACTCTGTCAGGCTGCCCTGTTTTTTTTGTGCAGTATACAAACACAACACGGCACGCACCACTCCACACCACACCACACCACACCACACCACACCACACCAGAACCATTGCACGAGGCAACAACGGCACATGGCCAAGAGCCAATGGAGGCTCGTCTCCCTTTCTTTCCTTTTGTTGCCACACGTTGTAACCCTTTGCTATATATTTTCAACCCGCATTCCTTGTCCATCCCGACCCCTCTCACCACCACCACCACTGGCAGTACGCGGGGGTGGACGAGGCGACAGGCGTGAAGTACTATTTCAACGAGCACACAGGGGTCAGCCAGTGGGAACCTCCGGTAACCACTCCCTTGACTAAAAATAACTATCGACCCGTCTTCCCTTCCATCCCAACCCCGCCCACCTACCATTACGCGGGGGTGGACGAGGCGACAGGCGTGAAGTACTATTTCAACAAGCACACAGGCCTGAGCCAGTGGGAAAAACTCGTTCTACCAAATTCAAAACGAGAGAATAACAGTCTTTTGCCCCTTCCATGCCAACCCCTCCCACCACCACCACCGCCACAACCGGCAGTACGAGGGGGTGGACGAGGCAACAGGCGTGAAGTATTATTTCAACGAGCACACAGGCATGAGCCAGTGGGATCCACCGGTTGCCGCGCCCAAGAGACCTATCCCCCCCCCGCCTCCCCCGCCCGTTCTCACACCTCTGCCCCCCGGGTGGGAGGAGGCTGTGGATGGTGAATCAGGTGAGGAGGGAGGGAGGGAGGGAAAGGGAATTGGAGGGAGGGAGGGAAGGGGAATTGGAGGGAGGGAGGGAAGGGGAATTGGAGGGAGGGAGGGAAAGGGAATTGGAGGGAGGGAGGGAAGGGGAATTGGAGGGAGGGAGGGAAGGGGAATTGGAGGGAGGGAGGGAAGGGGAATTGGAGGGAGGGAGGGAAGGGGAATTGGAGGGAGGGAGGGAAGGGGAATTGGAGGGAGGGAGGAAGGAGGGATGGGAGGGAGGGAAGGGGAAATGAAGGGATGGGAGGGAAATTTAGTGGGAGAGGGGGGAGTGTGGGTGGATAGAGGGTTGGAGGGTAGTTGGCATGGCATGGGTTGCTCACTCCGCTCCTCCCTGGGTGGGAGGAGGCAGTAGATGCTGAATCAGGTGAGGAGGGATGGATGGGAGGGAGGGATGGAATGGGACGGAGGGATGAGAGGGAGGGAGGGAAGGGAAAGGGAAATAGAGGGGTGGAGGGAAGTTGGCTTGGCATGGGTTGGTCGCTCTGCTATTCCCTGGTGGGAGAGAGGAGGCAGTGGCAGTGGCAGTGGCAGTGGCAGTGGCAGTGGCAGTGGCAGTGGCATTGGCATTGGCATTAAATCCCTTTCCCCGCCCCCTCCCTCCCTCTTGTCCGCCCCATTTTCCTTTTCTTCAATCTCCCACTCCTCACCTCACCACCAGGCCACAAGTACTTCCATCACTCCACCAGCAACGAGACCAGCTGGGAACGACCAGTGCTTCTTTTTAGGCGCCTCAATATCCCTCTCCCTCTCATCCGCCCCCCCTGCTCCACTCCACTCCACCAGGTCACAAGTACTTCTATAACTCCACCACCAACGAGACCAGCTGGGAAGAACAAGTGCTTTGGTGTCTCATGCCCATCCCTTTCCCCACTTCCCCCCTCCCTCATCTCCGCCCCCCTCCCTCCTCACCACCAGGTCACAAGTACTACTATAACTCCACCACCAATGACACCAGCTGGGAACGACCCAAGGCACACGCAGGCACAGGAGGAGCCGGAGGAGGAGGGGGTGGGGAGGCGAATGGGAATGACAGTAGCAGTGGTGCTGCTGGTGGCAGCGGTGCTGCTGGTGGCAGTGGTGCTGCTGGTGGCAGCGGTGCTGCTGGTGGCAGTGGTGGGGTGAAGTTCAAGCGGTGTGCGGGTTGCCAGGGGTGGGGCCGGGCGTTGGTGCAATCGTGGGGTTATTGCAACCACTGCACCAGGTTGGATTCAACCCCATGATCACCATTTCCTTCCTTACCTTGCTACAACAACCCTACACCTGGTTGTTGTTATTGAGTTTGTTTGTCTGTTTGGTTTTTTTTGTTTGTTTGTTTGTTTTTTTACATATATATAATCTATATATATACATACATGTTTTTTTTTTTCTGGGATTTGCTGCTTTCTTCCCCTGTGCCCTCTTTTTTATCGCTTCCCGTTCTTGTTTCTCTTTCCTGTTCTCCACCCCTAGGGAGCTAGGTATAGTGGTGCCTCCTGGTGCTGTCGTGTGCCATTGTAACGAGGTGCCAAAGTTTTTTTTTTCATCCCTTCCCGTTGTCCTTTCTCTTTCCTGTTCTCCACCCCAGGGAGCTAGGTATAGTGGTGCCTCCTGGTGCTTCCAGGAAAGCATCTGGAGCAGTCGCAGCAGCTGCAGCAGGGGGGGCGGAGGAAGGGCTAGGGACTGAAAGGGAGGCTGGGGGAGCGCCGAGAGCAGAACCAAAGAGCAGGTGCGTACGAGTGTTTAAGCTCCTGAGGCGCCTCAAAAACTGAGACGACTTTTGTTTCGCCTCAAAAGTCGTAGCAGCTGCAGCGGGGGGGGCAGAGGAAGGGCTTGGGAACAAAAGGGAGGCTGGGGGAGGGCCGAGAGCAGAACCAAAGAGCAGGTGCGTACGAGCGTTTATGCTTCTGCTTCTGCTTCTGCTTCTGCTTCTGCTTCTGCTTCTGCTCCTGCTCCTGCTCCTGCTCCTGCTCCTGCTCCTGCTCCTGCTCCTGCTCCTGCTCCTGCTTCTGCTTCTGCTTCTGCTTCTGCTTCTGCTTCTGCTCATGCCCGTGCCCGTGCCCATGCCCATGCCCATGCAAATGCCCATGCCTAACGAGAGAAGATAAGTGGTTGGCATGGATACAGGTATGGGTCCCGCTTGTGACTCACCTGTCTGTCAGTGAGCAGGCCCACAAATCTAGTTTTGAGACGTCTCAAAACTGTCAGTTAGCAGGCCCACAAATCTAGTTTTGAGACGTCTCAAAACTGTCAGTGAGCAGGCCCACAAATCTAGTTTTGAGTCGTCTCAAAACTGTCAGTGAGCAGGCCCACAAATCTGTTTTCATTTCGCCTGGGGCGACTCAAAGGTTCATTTTTTAGTTGACTCGAAAGCTTTTGACTCACCTGTCAGTGAGCTGAGCAGGCCCTGAAATCTGTTTTCCATTTTGCCTGGGGATTAGCTTGCCGATTGTCACAGCCGCCCCTTCTCCTTGACTTGACCCTTCCGTGTTGCCCGTTCCCAAACCTGTATCCAGGCTCGGCGGCGTGCCCAGGCCTGGTGCGCACCCAGCAACGCGCAAGGTGCAGCGGAAACGAGCAGCAGCGGCAGCAGCATCAGGAGGAGGAGGAGACGACAAGGACGATATTGATCCCATGGACCCGTCTTCGTATTCGGATGCTCCCCGGGGCGGATGGTGAGTCCACTAGTGCTTGTTCAGTCAGGATTCTTGTCGTCAGCCTGGTTTGGTCAGCAGCGGCGTGGCGTCAGGAGGAGGAGGAGACGACAAGGATGACATCAATCCCATGGACCCATCTTCGTATTCAGATGCCCCCCGGGGCGGATGGTTAGTTGCGACACGTGCGCTTTTTCTCTCTACTTCGCTCTTTTGAGTCCGATAGTTCTCCTCGTCACTGAAAGAGAGCACTACTAATTGGAGTCTTCCAGTCCAGACGCCTGTGCACATCCCATCCTGTCAACAGACCCTCATTCTCTCTCCTTCTTCTGCCCTCCCCCACTCCCTCCCTCCCTGGACGTCGTCATCCCAATGGCTGCTCTACCGCCAGGGCTGTGGGGCTGAAGGGAGTGCAACCGCGAGCAGCAGACACCACTGCAACGGTATGTGCCTTGCCTTGCTTGCCTTGTGTACCCTGCTTTGCCGGCCTTGCTGCTCTCACCGCTTGCCGTTTAGCTTGTGCCTCCCTCGACCTCCATCCAGGTTTGCGTGCTCTTCCTTTCAGAGCCCCACCTCTGTTTTTTTTTAGTCGACTCGAAAACGTTGCTCTTACCGCTTGCCGTTTAGCTTGTGCCTCCCCGACCTCCACGCTTGCGTGCTCTTCCTTTCAGAGCCCCACCTCTCCCCCATGCATCCTCTTCCCCCCGTCCCCATTTTCATGCCCTTCCCGCCTCCTCCTCTCCTTCTTTACACCCCTCCCTCAGTGGGTCCCGTGCCCTGTTTCAGCAGCGCCCCTACCCCTCCCTGCTCCCTGTAAACATCCATTTCTCCTCCCTCTCCCCCCTCACTGCCGCACCCCCTTTCTCAACAGGGTCACCTGTTCCAGCAGCTCCCCTACCCCTCCCCAGGCGCTGTTTTGCGCCGCAATGCTGAGCTGACAGGAGCAGGCGGAGCAGGAGGGAAAGGAGCGGGGCGAGGAGTAGAGAAATTCAGCAGAGTCAAACCCCCACCTCACATCCTTTCTCCCCTCTACCCCTTTGCTCTTCGCCCCCCCAACAGGGTCCCCTGTTCCAGCAGCGTCCCTACCCCTCCCCCGGTGCTGTTCTCCGCCGCAATGCTGAGCTGACAGGAGCAGGCGGAGCAGGAGGGAAAGGAGGAGCAGGGAAGGGCGACAAGGCCGGTCCCACAATGCAGGGCTATGCCGTGATTCGCAAGCGGGGAGATGGGAGCGATGGGCTGGGCGATGCTGATTAGGTGACCGTTGAAGAATAGACTTGGAAGTTAGCTTTGGGTTGACGGGCAGCGGCAGGGAAGGGCAGCTAGGCCGGTCCCACAGTGCAGGGCTATGCTTTGACTCGCAAGCGGGGAGATGGGAGCGATGGGCTGGGCGGCGGCGCTGATAACGCTGATAATGCTGATAACGCTGATAACGCGACTGTATGAGTTCATGGCTGGGTCTGCGGGGGGCGGAGGAACAGGGAAGGGGGTGGTGGTAAGCAAATGCAAGCCTACACTGTCATTTGCAAGCAGGGATACGGGAATGATGGGCTGGGCGATGCTTATTAGGCGACTGTTGAGGAGTTGCGTTGTGGGTTGACAGGGGATGGGGGAGAAGGGAAGGGCAAGGGAGCAAGGCCACTCCCATGGCTCATGACTATGCTGTGATTTGCACGTGGGGAGATGGGAAAGATGGGCTGGGCAATGCTGATCAGGCAATTGGGGTGGAGGAGGGGGCATAGCGGACATGTGTTGGGGTGGGTGGGAGGGCTGTGTGTGGGAGAGTATCTACAAGTAGGGAGATGGACGGAGTGGGTGGGGGATGCTGTTAGGTGACTTACGAGGAGTTGACTTGGAAGTTCATGTTGGGTTAATTAGGGGTAGGGGAGGGGGATAGTGAAAGGGGAAGAGGTGGATTGCAGCTAGGATTGACTTCCCAGCTGCCGGTTTTAGGACAAGCCTTGGATTTTTGGGGCGTTTGTTCATGCTAGACACCTCAAATGTTATTGCTCAACTCTAGCTCGTTCTAGGGGGCAAAATTGACAGTTTCATTAAAAAACGTTTTGTACTATCTGCGGTTCTGTTTTGAACGGTGTACAGTGTCGACCAAAGTGTGCCTTGTTTCGAATGTGTAGATAACGATGAGGCACTGCCGTAGGGTGATTCACGCAGTGAATTGCACGAGTCTGGTTGGCAACATGCTGCATCTGGTCATGATTGTATACCGCACTGTTCACGCATGATTGTTGGCTGGGTGTTGAATGCGTAGCGAAGTGTACCCAGACTCCCAGAGTTAGCAAAACGTTAGAGAAAACAAACTTCTGGGTACACGCCGAATATATCTCAGCGGACAAGCGAGTCCGCCCGGGGGAGCTCGCTGTCCGCGGGCAAAAAAAATAAAACCCATTCGGGCATGCATCCGGTCAGGGAGGCATCAACCCTAAACACAGGGAGGCATGGATTTAGGGTTGATGCCTCCCTCGGATGGCATGCCATCCGGTAGGGTTTTAGTTTTTTTCTGCCCTGGGCAGCATGTCGTCAGGGGTGGGCATGGGGGCGGGGACTGCAGCAGGCATGGGCGGCTTTGGCCAGGGTATGGGATCTGGAGGCGCATTCGGAGGACTGGGCATGTGTGTGGGTACGGCAGCCAGGTTTTCAGGTGCTGGCCGCGGGGTGGTCGTCAACAGGTCGTCAGGCTTGACGACCCGTTTCCGCTGAGATATTCGGCAGGATTGTCCGAAAACGACACCCATATTTGTTTGGAGAACATTCCAGAACAGCCTGCTTCAGGGAGGGCTCTTACTCCGAAGCATCCGAAGCATATGCCAGCCAGATTCCATAATCCAGATACCTTTCTTGGTAGTGTTTGTACCTTCTGCAATATATAATCAAGAAATGTCTAGTATTTTCCGCGCTTTCCGTACGCGTCGACCAGCAGCGGAACAGCTCTCCGCCAGCCCGTTCTGATAGCTCGGGGGGCCCTCCTGGTCGACCTAACATCGAAGCCTCACCAGCACGCCGCGCGCTCCGTTGGCCTCATAATCGGTCGATCATGGCCGCCACGTCATGCGCATCGCGAGTCGTCATCGCGGGTGATCGCGGTCTCGAGAGCCGCATTCCGCTTCGTCCCGTTCACGTCGTCGCGTCGCGCTGTTCCTCCAGATCCGGCGCGCTGCGGAGTAGTTTGTGGGGAGGAGAGTGCAAGCAGGTGAGATTACGATGGCGGCATCGGGAGAAAGAAGAGAACGCAGTAAAATTCGACCATGCGTGAGTGTACCTTACAGATCAAGTGCATTTTATTCACCAGTGTCATGGCACAGATGTATTGGAGTAGTATTGTATTGATAGGTTGGATCGATGAGTCATAGCCATTTTTACATTTATCAGCAGATAGGACATCAGTATGACGATGTATACCCGTACACGAGGTGACTTTTGAGTCGACTCAAAAGTCACCAGCATGGTACCTGACTATGACGATAAATAGGTTCTCGAATCGCGGTCATGCACGTCCAGTCATCATCAACACTCGAATCTAATCAGATCCAGTGGTAGTCTCCTTTGGTTTCTATTGAAATCCATTTGCACCCTTTCGTATCCGTTCGTACCCGTTTGAATACAGCTTTTAAAAGCGCCGTCTCGACAACCCTCATCGCGCACCGGTGACTGACGGATCTCACCTCCCCCTATCTCCCCGCTCGTCCATTCCCTTAACCAACAGCTAACCACCCCCATTTCCGCCTCTCCCCGCCGCCAAAGCGCCTTCTCCGCCTCCCCCCGCGCATCCGCGGACTCTCCGCCGACGGCTCCCGCCGCGTCCGCTTCCGCCGACACGATCCCGCTGCTGACGCCGTACCAGATGGGCCCCTTTTCCCTCTCGAACCGCGTCGTGTACGCGCCGTTGACGCGGTGCCGCGCGCTGGGGTTCGTTCCGCAACCCGCGGCGGCGACCTATTACGCGCAGCGCACGGTGCCCGGGCAGCTGTTGATCTCGGAAGCGACCGCTGTTGTGCAGGAAGGAATCGGGTAAGTCGGGGAAGCTTTTTACGTGCCTCAAAAACAACCGCAACAACCTCAACAGCGCACTGCCGTGGCACGGTGCCAGGGCAGCTGCTGATCACGGAAGCCACGGCTGTTGCACCGGAGGGAAGGCGCGGCGCGGGAGAGAGGCGAGAGAATAAGCCGCGAGAGTGGGTTGCGGGAGAGATTGCAGAAGACAGAGACGGGTGAGATAGAGGAGTGCAGCTTCCCCTGTCTCTCCTAGAGGCAGGAGTTCTGCCTCCCCTGCGCCATCCCCCCACCCCCTTCCTCAGGTACCCGAAAGTGCCGGGGATGCATTCGCGCGAGCAGGTGGAGGCGTGGAAGCCGATTGTGGAGGCGTCTCAGAAGTCGTTTCTTGCCTCCCCTGCCTCTCCTGCCTCATCTCCTGCCTCCCCTGCCTCTCCTGCCTCGTCTCCTGCCTCCCCTGCCTCTCCTGCCTCATCTCCTGCCTCTCCTGCCTCATCTCCTGCCTCTCCTGCCTCATCTCCTGCCTCTCCTGCCTCATCCCCTGCCTCATCCCCTGCCTCATCCCCTCACCCCTTCACCGCCTCACCCCTCTCCGCAGGTATCCGAACGCTCCCTCACCTGCTCTCACCTTCTCACCCCCACCCCAGGTACCCGAACGTGCCAGGGATCTACTCGCGCGAGCAGGTGGAGGCATGGAAGCCGATCGTGAAGGCGGTGAAGGACAAGGGCGGAGTGTTCTTCTGCCAGATCTGGCACAGCGGCAGGGCGTCGCACCAGGGTGAGCACTGATGGGCGAGAGGGGGGAGAAGGAGGGGTTGCCTTTTTTTTGTCGACTCAGAAGTTGTCTCATCTCAGGTGGAGTGGAGGTGTGGAAGCCGCTCGTGAAGGCTGTGAGGGCCGTGAGGGTCGTGAGTGGCTTTTGGGAATTCTCAAGGGTGGCGTGCTCTTGTGCCTGCCAGCTCTGGCACGGCGGCAGGGCAGGGCGTCGCACCAGGGTGAGCAATGCTCTCTTGTCTCTGTCGAGTCGGCTAAGACATGGTCTCATCACATGTGGATGCGTGGAGGCCGCTCTTTGAAGGGTTTGTGAGGCTTCTCAAGGCTGGCGTGTTGTTCTGCCAGCCAGCCGTGGCACAGCGACGCTGTGACAGGGCGTTGCACACCGGTGAGCGTGAGGGCATTTGCGAGTTGACCGCTGGGTCTCACTATGTGCCATGCACCGTGCACCGTGCACCGTGCGCCATGCGCCATGCGCCATGCACCATGCACCATGCACCATGCACCATGCACCATGCACCATGCACAATGCAGCATGCGCCGCGCATCAACCGACCATCGATGTTGTTGTCATTGGCATCATGTTCTGAACACTAACAAACTACCAGACTTTTGAGACGTCTCAACAGTTGTCTTTTGAGACGTCTCAACAGACGCCCAACCCCCACACCCCCCCCACCTTTCCATCCTGCCCCCCACCCCCCCTTCCCCCAGACTACCAGCCGGGGGGCGCCCTCCCCATCGCCCCATCCGCCCTCCCCATCACATCAGGCGACAAGGTGTACATGCACATGGGCGCGCATGACTACCCCACCCCGCGCGCCATGGCGGGGGCGGACATCCGCGCGGCCCCATAGCTTCATAGCCCGCTCCCCTCATTTCTCTCCCTCCCTCACTCTCTCACTCAATCACGCTGTCCCTCACTCTCTCTCTCTCTCTCTCTCTTCATCTTTTTGTGCTTCCTCCCCCCCACCTCCCCCAGACTACCAGCCGGGGGGCGCCCTCCCCATCGCGCCGTCCGCCATCCCCATCACGTCAGGCGACAAAGTCTACACGCACACGGGCGCGCACGACTACCCCACGCCGCGCGCCATGTCAGAAGCGGACATCCGCGCGGCCGTCCTGCAGTTCCGCGTGGCGGCGCGCAACGCCATGGAAGCGGGGTTCGACGGCGTCGAGCTGCACGGCGCTAACGGATACCTCATTGAGCAATTCCTCAAGGTACAGTCGAAGTTGTGGGGCAGTGCGGTGCGGTGCGGTGCGGCGCGGTGCGGTGCGGTGCGACGCGGTGCGGTGCCATTGCATGGGTTGGATGCAGCAGTTTCGTTCCGTGTGGCGGCGCGCAACGCCATGGAGGCGGGGTTTGACGGCGTGGAGCTGCACGGCACTAACGGATACCTCATTGAGCAGGTTCTCAAGGTGGGGAGGGGACACAGGGAACAAAGGGAACAGGATGAATGAAGGAGTTGATCTGTGCTCGAGTCTCCTAAACCCTGGCCATTGATTCCCAGTGGCCCTTCTCACCTTCCTTCCCACCCCACCTCCTCATCCCCCTCCACTCTCATCCCCCCCTACCTAACAGGACAGCAGCAACAAGCGCACGGACCAGTACGGCGGGTCCATCCCCAACCAGAAGAGATACGCTACGCTTCCTCGTGGAAGTCGCATCCGCCGTCGCCGAGGAGACTGCCATACCAGTCAGGGCAGCACCGATGAGCATTATTTCCAATGCCCTTCCTCCCATGTCCCCCCTCCCCCGCACTCCCTGCCCCTCGCCTCCCCCCTAACAGGACAGCAGCAACAAGCGCACGGACTGGTACGGAGGATCCATCCCCAACCAGAAGAGATACGCTACGCTTTTTGGTGGAAGTCGCATCCGCCGTCGCCGAGGAGACCGGCTCGCTCCATTTCCAAACTTCATCCTTCCTTCCTCTGCCCCCCCTTCCCCCCCTTACACCCACCAGGACAGCAGCAACAAGCGCACGGACCGGTACGGAGGATCCATCCCCAACCGCGCACGCTTCCTCGTGGAAGTCGCATCCGCTGTAGCCGAAGAGATCGGGCCGCTGCGCGTGGGAGTGCGGCTGTCGCCGTTCTCAGCGGTGCTGTCAGCGGTGGATTCGGCCCCCGTGGCCACGTGTGTGCATGCCACGCAGTGCCTCAACGACCTGGGGCTGCTCTACCTGCACCTCATGGAGCCCCGCTTGGACCGCGAGGGGGAGGCCATCAATGATGGGGAGGTGCGTGGGTGGCTTGTGGGGCTGGCTGGGGGCCGGGATTGGAGGGATTGGTTCGGTGGGTGCGGGGGTGTGTGCGCGGCTCTTTGGGAGAGTGTGTAGGTGGGTGGGGGAGTGTGACTATGTTGCTGCGCGTGGGCGTGCGAGGTGACTTATGAGTCGACACAAAAGTCACCTCTTTGGGAGTGTAGGTGGGTGGGGGGTTGTGACTATGTGGCTGCGTGTGGGGCGTGCAGCTGTCGCTGTTCTCAGCGGTGCTGTCGGCGGTGGACTCGGCCGCAGTGGCCATCTCATGGAGGTGCGCTTGGACAGAGAAGGGGAGGCTATTAATGATGGCGAGGAGAGTGGCTGATAATGCTGTTGTCAGCATGGGCTAACCATGGTGTGAGCAGAGGCTGAGGAGGGTGCGAGCAGGGGATGAGCATTTTCTTAGCCAGTGGATTTGCGCGTGCACGGGTGGGCGGGTGTGTTTGTCGCTTGTGCTGAAAAGCAAACCATACAATACTCTCCCCTCTGCCTTTTCTCTTGTCCTGTGTCACAAATCGCCCATCAACAACTCGCTCGTGCTTGCAGTCTCTAGAGCCGTTTCGCCGGGCCTTCAGCAACACTCTCATCAAAGCAGGCGGACACACGGTGAGTGTGGGAGTGCCAGGGACGTGCCATGGGGTGAGCGGTCTGGTTGAAGTGGTGTGCGGTAAGTGGTGTAGTGTGGGGTAAGTGGTGTGAGGTAAGTTGTCTGTATCATGACTACTGGTGGAGACAATGGGAGGTATAGCTGGTGTAGCCGGTTGCTGCCAACCTTCAGCCTACAACTTCAGCAATGGGAGGTACTACCGTACTTGCATAGCAGTGAGTTAATGCTTTGATCCCCTTGCCATCCCATGATCCCAACCACCCCACTCAGCGTGAGTCTGGAAACATTGCCATTGCCAGCGGTGCAGCTGACTTGGTGGCATACGGCCGCACGTTCCTGGCCAATCCCGACCTGCCACGTCGCTTTGCCCTGAATGCGCCACTGAATCCTTATGATAGGGAAACCTTGTACACCCCTGACCAAGCCAAGGGGTACACAGATTACCCTTTCCTAGAAGAGAAGGCCTGAGGATGAGGATGTAGTAATGTATGATTGGTTTAGGGGGAAGCATGATACCTGCTTCGTTGTGGATGCGGTATCGCAGCTGTAACAAATGCAGAAGGGCTTTAGATCGCATATTTTGCGGTTCTACCGGCAATAAAAGCCAAGCAACTACAAATCACATCATTATTGTTCTTCCTCCAGTATTGCCCAAGCAGCTACAAATAGGTATCCTTTCGATTTGAAGTTTTGTGCATCCCATAATGCAATGGCAGTAAGCGAGTGTAATCGTCGGAGCTTGTATTGTACCGAGCATTTCTGCAGCGAATTACATTGTTCGGCATTGAGCCCCACTCACAGTCGAACCAGCAGTGCGCGGTCATGATGCATGCTCCCAACCAGGCCTGTCGAAGTTTCTGGGGCTCGTACTTGCGCTCCCCAGCTCCTCCGCATCTGACCCTTGGTTGGGTGTAGGTGTACGTTTTGGCGCCCTTAACGGTCACGGGCGCACCCCAAAGTGAAAACTTGAAATCCGGGCATGTGTGAAGTTTGCCCTTACACTGTATTCTACTATGATACGTGCAGTTTTCTACTTATATTAGAAGTCAAAGATACCTAATACTACACATGTCTTCAGTAGTCATAAAACCTACCTAGCCTGCAATGTTCTACTTCTTTTCACTAACTACAGCTTTAGCATGCAGTGCTCAACTACTCTACGCTACCCAAACATGCAATGCAAGCCTATTTGGCAGGCTTCCTCCCCTTCCTCCCCTTCTCCTCAAACAAGGCATAGGCCGCTGCCCAGTCCACCGGGTAGTCTAGCATCTTCACCGTCATCAGCTCCCCCAGCCTAACATCAGTAAGTGCAACACGATCCCACGACTTAATAATGTTTTGGCGGGAGAAGCCCCTCTCACACTCAACAGTGCTGAGGGGCAACACAGAGACTGCACGCCAGAGGGAGACTATGGTGGGATAGTCATCCCTCCAGTCTGCCGTGCGCAGCATGTTGGTGAGAGCCTGATGGAAGCTCTGCTTCTTGAACTTCTTCTCCATGGTGGCTGTGAAGAGGCGCATCTGCGGCTCTATGTCAGCAAGAGCAACTCCTGCCAAGGACATATTCAATGTTGGAACATATACAAGGTTAGAACATATACAAGGTTCCTACTATAGCCTCTCGACTTACCAGGTAGCTGGTTCTTGAACATGTCAAGGAGCTCGGTGAGATGGAGCTTCACCCATGCGTCCTGCTCTCCTGCACGGTCGGGATACTTATCAGGGGAGAAAAATCCAACACCATCGAAATGGCGCAGGTCCGCCATCCTCTTCCCCAGCGCCTTAATCAGGCGCTGTGCGAAACGCCTCGCCAGGTCCACGCATGCCTCCAAGTCGCATCCCCCCCCTGGGTTTTCAGGGTCGATGATGTCCTCGTGAAGCTCGATCTCGGCTTTTAATGGCTTGCCGTTCTCGTCCACTCCCTTGAGCTCCAGCTTGCGCTTGTCCTTGCTGCCGTGTGCAGCAAGGAACTTGTTCAGGCGAGAGGTGTTTGGCCCGTTGGATGCGCCGGGCTCGACGTAGTACTGCGACAACTTGGTCTTCACCTTGTCGACATGATTCTTCACCTCTGTGATGTCGACCTGAAAGCAAACAGAGCGAGAAAACATTAGAGCCAAGCACACAAATCAAGAAGCGACAAGGCCATGTTTCATCAAAATCTTACCGTCTGCTTCTGGAAGGATAGATTGAGTCCGTTGAGCAGCTGCAGCACGTCAGCCAGGAGATAAAGCATATAGTGGAACTTGAAGCTGGTAGCGAGTTTCTCCGTCTCGTCCTTCTCCTTCGTCCACATCCACATGAGCACCGGCAGCACGTCACAGAAGCGATTCACAGCATCCCCGCGAGACAACCAACGGACGGTGCAGAAGCCTTGCACCTCCAGGTGCGTCTGCAGAATGACGTCCTGGAGATGCATGTAGGTCTTGTGATCGGTTGATGAACGCCCGAGACGCTCTGCAGTCTGGCGTATCATCTGATCGACGACGCTGAACTCCTTGAAGCTCTTCGCGGCATCCTTGGCGGCCAATGCCTCGCTGCACAAGCACGAAACGTGCGTGAGTATGGTTTGGGAGGGGACAGGTGTAAAATACGAGAGGAAGCAGTGCAGTGCAACCTTACCGATGCGCCACGCAGTGAATCGCCACCAGCCACGGGCATCGTTTCCGAAGCATGGCGACAACGCCGTTCTTCGAGCCAGTCATCACGGATGCACCATCCGTTGACACCCCGACAAGCTTGTCCATCGACATGTCCTTCGACCACAGACACTTCACGATCGCGTCGTGCAGTGCTGTGGGCGTCGCAACGATCGAGCGACAGGAGAGCAAGAAACTGGGACACCACAGCCTCGCCTCTCTCAAACGTGACATACACGATGAGGTGCTTTCCACGGGCGTGATCCGTGGATTCATCGAAGGAGAGGTTGTACCAGGCCGACTCTTTGATGTCCACGAGCTGCTTGGCCACCAGATGCTCCGCCATAGCCTCTACGAACTCGCCGAAGGCGTATCTGCAATGAGCACCGAATGAAGATGTTAGTAAGTTACCCACAATAGAACAGCAGAAGAAGTACGAATAAAGCAGAAGCATACAAACAGAAGTATTTGCAGGAAATCAGGAGCAGAAACAGAGGCTAACAAACACGTACCGCGAGTAATAACGACCGTACGATTCGCCGTTCATCATGTCGGGGCATCCTTGCTCCGCCATGAACCGCACCAGCATGGGGAAGAGCGCGATAGGAGCGTCGTTCCGCGCAATCCAGTGAGCCCCTTGCATGCATTTGACGACCCTCGCCATGACAGGATCGTTGCTGAGCATATTCAAGAGGCTGCGCTGCCTCACCTCTGTGCCTTCAGTGAGTCGTTCAGCTTCCATGGCCGCGAGGTGCACCTTGGACTGGTCATGGTTGCGGCACGCCGATTTCTGAAAATCCCTTGCACCGACTCCAGCACCGCCAAAGGGAGACTTGGTGTTAGGAGCGAACTTACAGCAGACGGAACACTTCATACCATACTGGCGCTCCTGTTTGTTGTACTTCAAGCTCAGCCACGAGTACGTCTGCTTCCACGACGTGCTGAAGCGACGTGCAAGACTCCTCTCAGCATCAGGGATCTGGGTGTCCGGGGGTACTTCTGCATCCTCTGCGATCGCGTTGTCCCGCGCCTCCACCTCCTCAGCAGTGGGTGGAGGCGGTACCCATCGTGCGCGCTTTCGCGTGTCTGGTGGCAGACTAGCGAAGCTTAGGTGAACCTGACGATAACGGCCTGCGGACCTCGGGGTAGACTGTGACGACGAGGCTTGATGGGCAAGGCGCGGGTCCAAGACTGAGATTGCTACGTCTAGCATGTCTTCAGCATCCGTGGGTACGTAAGGCTCGGTCTCGGTCGTACTACGAGAATAAGAGACGTTCGTCATGGGCAAAACTGGAGAAGGGGTTTCACCCTCGCTATGGTCCATTGTGGGAGAATGTGGCTGACGAAGGGAACGGGTTAGCTAGCCAAAATATAAACCTCGCGTGTATGAGCGAGGCGACGCGAGATTTACTCGGCAGAGTGGGTTGGAGGAGAAGTGCCATAGCACGGCACGAACGAAGGTGGTGGTGGTGGTGGATGGATTGCATGGTGGTGGAGAGGAATCGTGGAACGCACGAACGAAGGTGGTGAGAGAGCTGCTACGCTGGAGTGCTTCAGTTAAGTTCCTTTGACGTGCTTTGGTTAAGTGTGTTAGAGTTCTCTGAGGCCAATCAACTTAGCCAGATTCACCCAACCTAATCCTATGTGTCACAGTTGTAAACTGCGGCCAGCTCGTATTGGACGCTAAGGGAATGTTCGGGTGCTCCAAGGCTGAGTGAGACACACTACACACACGAGATTGGCTAGAAAACGCTAAGGGAAAAATCCCCTTGGCGCGCTCTAGTGCAGGCTAAGGAGAAAGGGGGGGGGGGGGGGGGGGGGGTCTCGGGCACCCTGGGGCGGGGGGGGGGTCCTACGAGCGGAAACCAAAACTTAGATAAAGGGGAAGGCCTGGTTTCGTCCCTTAACACATCCGGGGAAGGGTCGAACGAAACACTTAGTGGCACGGGTGGGGTACGAATCCAGAACTTGCCGCATTGGAGCTGGAGCGAAACTAGCCCTTAATGTTCAGGGCGTTAAGGGCATATGCCCTTGAATCGACAGGCCTGCTCCCAACCCAAGCACACCTCATCATCCAGGAGCAGCCATCCAATACTCAGTCGCACATTTCGTAAAACACTACACAGTATCGGGGGACTTGCTGGTAACCCTTGTAATCGAAATCCAATGTGCTGGTGCGACGTTCGTCCGAACCGGCATCCGAAACAGAACGAAACACGGCAACGCACTTTCACTCCGTTCCACACCCCATGACACAATTGGGTTTTGAGTCGAGCACGCACTGTTACTGAACTTCTTCGCTCCCAGAGTAGCTACAGCCCTTCTGGCGCACTGTTACTGCCCAGTTTTCGCTCAGAGCCCAGAAACATGTGCTTTCAACGCATTTTTGATTTCATTGGTCCACACATGGCACATAACTACAAACCGAACCTGTGGATGCTCTCACTGAAAACAGTAACCACTTACATTTGTTTTTAGTGCTAAAAAATATGTATACCCCTTTAAGAAGGGCATCAGTAATAAACGCCTTCCGATGTTGTTTAGGGGTTGATGCGCAATCAAGACACGCCATTGGGAAGGGCATCAACCCTAAACACCGTGTTGCCCGGTGTTTAGGGTTGATGACTCCCTCGAAAAACATGCCACCCAATAGGGTTTTTTTGCTTTTTATGCCCAAAATGTTAGCGATTGACGGTTCGGTGTCCGTCAACCAAAGCAGAGTTATCGGTCCGTCAATTCTATGACCAATAAAAGCAAAACTGCGTTGAAAGCACACAACTCTGCGCTGTTTGCGAATTCTGGGCAGTAAAAGTGCGCCAGAAGCGCTGTAGCTGCGTGGGGAGCAAATAAGTTCAGTAACAGTACGTGCTCAACTCAAAACCCGACATAATTCCAGATCCATCCAGTCACAATGACACTGTACACTGCAGTCATGACTCACAACACCAACCAAGTCGAAGGTGAAGCTCATCCCACAACACCCAACCTAACAGAACCAGAGGAAACCGAAATTCACCAAGACAAATGACATCAAACCATTTTGTAATTGCCCCAGTTCCCAAGGTCCAAGCCATGCGTATCATGTAAAATCGAGGCTGCTTCTTCCATCCAGCCCGAGCATCGCTGTCATGTTGTCATCCTCCCCTGCTCTTCTGCTGGGACGCATCGCACCCTAGAACTCCTCCTAATGCACTGTGCACCTTTCGGCTGGCTGCATTCTGCTCACTGCTCAGCTAAACCAGCAGAACAAATGAACCACCCTCTTCTCCTCCTTCCCCGTCCGCCCTACCTAATCCCACCGAACCCATCCACCCCATGACATACCACAAACACCTGGCGTAACGCCACGTGTACGCGTCCTGGTGCCATGTCATGCTGTTCTCTCTACAAATGTTCTCGATTAGAGTCCCCGTAAAAAACACGCGCGCTGCGGGCCTTTGTGGAAAACTCACAAACCCCGGGCAAAAGGGAACTTATAGTCCCATATGAGAAAAATTGCATGAAGAGCGATTTTCCTTCGTGACTATTCGTGTTTTTCTGTCACATACGTACATTCGGACTACGCTGTCTTCAACTTCTCGTCGCACGGTTCGCCGCGTTGATCAGTGTCGCAGGACAAACGGGCAGAAAAATACAAAATAAATTATGTTTAATGCCGAAATGAAAGACTTTGTTTTTGTTTTACACTGTAATCGAGATTAATGAGATGGCATCGTCGGAGCTCGCGGGGAACCGCGCAACAGGATTTAGACGCAAGAGAGGCTAAGATAAACAGACAAACACAACTGCAAAAAGTAAATAGTGAATAAAAACTTCCTTTTGTTTTATTTTCTCTTAATGTACTGACAGGTTCGATGTGCGTCCTCTGATTGGCTGCAGAACTGATTCGTGCAATGATTCAGTCAAGATGCAAGATTTCCCGCCAAAAATGGGACTGTAGAGGAGGGGATACACCTAGGGCTTATGTGAAAAATCTACTCGTTGAGGAAATGGGACTCTTTTAGGAAAGGCCTCTAAGCCAGAACATCTGTACTCTCGTTTCAGCCTCCCTCGGCCTCCACGGCCTCCTCACCTCCTTTCTATCAACTTCCGTGAAGCATATTTTGAAACTTTCCGTATCTCGGCAACGCATAATCCTCGTCGCGATGATCAGTGGGAACACTCTCGACGGACGGACGTTTCTGACAACGCGTCACCGCCATTCTTAACGTCCGGCCTCGTTCCGTCCCGTCCCTTTCCGTCCCTTCGCTCCGCTGTCCTTCGCTAACCGCGTTTCACGGCCAACGCTAGAAGAATTTGGCTTTGGAGCGAGTCTGCACTGCACGTACCGTCGCGGGTGCATCCGCCATGCATCCGTTTCGAGTCAGCACGCGCGTACAGCACGGGGAGCCCCACGTCCCGTACACACCAGCCGGAGCCTACTTCGAGTCATCGCAATCTCAAGTTCAGAACCACACGTCTTACGCGTCTGCTGGTGGTTATTCTCTCGTCGACGCTGCTTCTCGCGACGCATCCTTGTCCTGTAACCCTACCTTCGGCGAACAGCCGGTTTCGCGCGAGCCGGGTAACTCAACTCATCGCGAAGAATCACCTTCGCACGAGCGACATCGCCCGCGTAGCCGATCGGTTCGCCCGTCAAAGAACGCTCCCAAAAGCGATGACTATGGCAACTCTTATTCTTCTCACCACAGACCCTCCTATCCACGCGGAAACTCCATAGCGGCGACTGAATCCTCTCATCCTCATCCTTCCGCTGATCCTCATCCTTATCCTGAATCTCACTCCCGCCATTCCCCGCAACAAATCCACCGTAGTCGGAGCGACTCGTCCACTTCCCCTGGGGCTCATACCGCCACCTCTTTCCGCCCCCCCTCCGCGCACATGTGCCTGCGCGCGGACCTTTCGGCCTCCGGCTCCGCCGTCGACTCCGCCACCAAAGTCCGCCTTCCGCCCGGGGAGGCCGCGGCGCTGCGGAGAAACCTTCCGCCGATCCCCGGACTGGCAGAAAGCCTACGCGGCGGTGGAGCTGGGGGGCATGCGGGGGAGGGGGAGGGGGATGGCGCGCGGATGGCGTGGCAGGTCCGCGGAGAGGCGGGCTTCAGCGCGGAATTCGAGGAGATGCGGCGGCGGCGGTATGCGCAGCGGCTGGCGCAGGAAGCGGAAGGCGCGGGGAATTCGCAGGCGCACGCGCGGGGGATACTAGCGAGCGTGCAGGAGCCGAACGAAGCTGGCGCAGCGGAAGCTAGTAATAGGGAAGAAAATGTGGCAATTTATGTAGAAGCAGGGGACTCAGGGGACTCAGGGTCAGCTTCAGGGGGGTTTCGCAAAGATGAGAGCAGCGTGGGTTACGGCGTGCACGCCGTAGGGCGCGGCGCAGCGCATGGGGAAAGAGGTAGAAGCGCGAGTGGAGGGGCCGACTGGGGGGCGGCGGAAAGGGGAAGGGGAGATTGGGGGAAAGGGGGAGAAGCGCCTGGCGTGGCGGAAAGACAGGGACGGGGGGGAGTTAGAAGTGGAGGGGATGAGATGGGGAGATATGAGTGGAGTAGGGATGAGGGGAGGAGAGATGATGGGAGCAGAGAAGAGGGGAGAAGAGCTTCTGGATTGAGAGAGGAGGGTGATCGGTTTGGGACGGTTGAGACGTTTGGAAATGGCGGAGGGAACGGCCGTGGGGGTTTGCTGATAGGCGGAGGACAGGCGGAGGGAAAGGGACGAGAAACGTCAAGGAAAACGAGTGGAAGCAAGGTGAGAAGGGGAGGAATGGAGATATGGGTATGGGTTGGAGGGAGTAGGAAGAGGGTTTGAAGGGGTGAAGATTATTCACGTTAGAGAAAAGGGAGGAAGGGAGGGGTTGAAGGGCGGGTGATCAGGGGAGAGGGATTGGATAAGGGTTGGGGTGGTAGTGGGTGGGAGGGAGGGAGGATGGGTGACATCAAGCAGCGGTCGGTCATTTCTGAGCCGACTCAAAAGTTGGGGGGCGGTTAGGATACAAATGGGAGCGGTAGTGGGGCGGCTGGAGGGAGGGAATGAAGGGGAGAAGGAGGACAAGGAATGGGGGAGGGAGGGAAGGAGGAAGGATCTTGACAAAATTCCACTCTTTCCTCACTGCCCTCCATCCGCTTCCAGCCACTCATATTCCATCGCCCTGTTCCTTTCCCCCTCCCCTGTCTCTCCTCTTTCCCTCGTCTTTCCCCCCGCCTTCCCTCCTCACGCTTCCCTTTTCTTCCACCCTTTCCCTGTTCCCCCCTCCTTCCCTTTCAACCCCTCCTCCGCCTTCCCCCCCTCACCTGTACAGGTGGAGTTCCAGTTACCTCTATCAGTCCCTCCCCACCTCCCTCACGACGAGCCCGCCACACCGTCTCTCGCCCACCCTCCCTCCCGCCCTCCAACATCCCCTTCTCCTCCCGCTCCCCTCTTCCCTCGGGACCTTCCCCCAGCCCATCCGCCCCACCATCCCCCGCGCTCCCCCATACCACACGCCACCACAGAGCCACGCCCACTCTCCCGCCCCCAGTCCCGCCACACCTCCCCCTTGCGCTCCTCGTCCCCCCGCCTCCCGCCCAGCATGTCTCTCCCTGATGTGCCCATCCCCGCGTCTCTTTCTGATTGGGCTGCCCAAGCTGCCCATGAACGGCCTGTGGCAGATCTATTTATCGACCCCTTGCCCCCCAATTCCTCCCTTTCCTCCCCCTCACCAGACTCCCCTCGCTCCCCGCACTCCCCCCGCTCCCCTCGCTCTCCCCGCTCCTCCCGCTCTCCTCGTTATCAACACGCCAGGTACTCCCCTCCCCGTCCTCACTCCCTACGCCCTCTGCATTCCCCACATTCCCAGCACTCCCCTGGATCCTCTCCCTCCTCGCCTGTCACCCACCGGTCTCCAGGCTTTGATAGCAGAAGCACAGGTACTGAAGCATACATGCAGCATACAGCAGATCTGGGTCAAGTACCTGATGAGACCTTGCCCTCCTCCTCTTCGTCTCGTTTATCCCTGGGACTCCATACAGCAAGTTTATCACCATCCTCGTCGTTGGCAGCGGTAGGAGCAGGGGGAGCAGGAGCAGTGGCAGGAGCAGTGGCAGGAGCAGGAGCAGAAGCAGCAGAAGCTGCAGATGCAGAAGGTGCAGCAGCAGAGGAACAGTCAGGGCCCCTCTCACCCTCATGCATGGCGGGACCTGCCCTCCCCTCCTTTTCCAGTGTCATGTCTGCAGCAAGTGGTGAGACGTTCTCACAGGATTTTAAACGTTACCAGCAGCAGCGATCCAAAAGCAATCTTGAGGCGCCTCTGAAGTCAACACCCGGCCTCCCTTCATTTTCCAGTGTCATGTCTGCTTCTAGTGGCGAGACGTTCTCACAGGACTTTAAACGGTACCAGCAGCAGCGATCCAAGAACAAGGAGCAGGGATGGGGGTTGGAGGCTGAGGGGATGGGTGAGGATGGGGATGGGAAGGGGGATGGGAAGGGGGATGGGGTGGAAGGCGGGGGGGAGAGAGAGGGGAGGGGTGTGAAGGGAGGTGGAGGAGAAGAGGGTGAGTGGAGTGAGGAGGATGATCTTGTGGGGGGTGTGCCTCTCTCTCTAATGAAGGCTCGTGGAGTGTCGTTGCCTTGCGTGCGCGCGCCTAAGGTTAGAGGGGAGGACGAGGGAGAAAGGGAGGGGGGTCACGCCAAACGGGGACGGGTGAAGTTGAGGGGGGGCAAGAGTTGGAAGTGGTGGTGGAAATAAGGACATGGCGATGGGCGTTTTTTAATCCTTCTAGATGGTGTGTTTCTTGTTGAGAAGGATAGTCATATTCAACTGGTTTTAGGGAAAACCAGGTTTCAGCTAAGCTGTTTCTTGTAGGTCTAGGCTTGTCTGTTTATAATGTGTGCAGCTGAAGACATACATTTCTTTAGGGCTAGATTTCCTCTTAGCCAGCGCAATTGGGGGTCACAGTTAGGAATATCTGCCGCTGCACTGAAAATCCTCCTTGTGAAAGCTGTGAAGTGAAGGCTTGTTTGGCGGGAGCGAGTAGTGTCCAGCTCCCCACATCTCCTGTACGTTCTTTGCGGTCTAATTTGTTTCGTCACGGTGAGTATTTGTTTCTCCCCACATCTCAAAAGACCGTTTTCCACCGTGTGAAATCGTTTTGAGCCATGAAGTGTGAACTGCATACAAGTATGTGCGACCTGAACACCGCCTTATCACAGTACCGTACCGTACCCGCTGTTGTCTGGTGATGGAGTGGCTGACCACTCGCTAACGATCAGCACCACTCAAAACCGCTCGTTATCAACCGGCCAACAACCTCGATTTCACATTTTTACTTTGTCCTCCATTCACCACCACACCACGGAAACCGCCAGATGAACTGACGCTGTGAGTGAGTGAAAGATGGAGTAAACGAATGGTGACCAGTACAACGGCTGTCCTGATCATGGAACAATCATAAGCAGTTGACTGCTGATAATGTGCCTTATCCGCTTCCCGTTTCGCGCTTGCGGCGACGCGATTGTCTGACCTACGTGACGAACGCCTGACGGATGGAGCGTTAAGGGATTGCCGCAATAACCGGAGCTTGATCCGGGACATAAAGCTCTCTTGAAGCTCACTCGAACTAATTAGCTGACTGACAATAGCTTTTAGCCTGTCATTTTCGCTGTACGCGTGGTCGCATACGTCGTCGCTTACGTTTCCGCGAGGATCGCAGGCATCGCACCGGGATCGCTGAGGGTTTCTCTTGGTGTCCTCCTGTCGTTCCCTGGTGCGATCACCAACAACCTTTATCACCGGCTGCAGCATGGTTCAGGTCAGTTCCATTTCTCGCCCTTACTACCTTCCTTCGCCCATGTACAATGTCTTAGGTGCCTTGAAATTTTTCTTAGGACTAGTACACGACTTCTTGGTGCGATGCCCACCATAAATTATTCCCGCTGACAGCACGATCCACGTCAGCGCCTTTTTACCATCCACCCCTCCTCCGCGCATGCAATGAAAGCCGTCACGCACAGTTTCCCGTCTGTTCCTCTGGTCTCTATCTACTCTTCTTCCCCACACAACCTTCCGTCATTGAACTTTCCGTAACCTAGTTTTCCGCTTCTCCGTCCCCCATTCTTCCTCCCCTCTCCCCTCCCTTCCCTCCGGTCAGTACCCCATACCCCGGCTGCGCACGCTAGCAGAGAAGCTCCGCCTACCCCCCGCTGCGCTGCCATGGGCGCTGCTATCCCTAGCCGCCGTCGTGCTCATGCTCCTCGGATCCCTCTGGACTTCCCAGCAGACCTCCGCGCGGCACGAGCAGATCGTGTCGCAGCTGCTCCGGGAAAAAGAGGCTCTTAAGCTTAATTTCGACGAGGTGATTACGAAGAAGTCGCACGGCCAGGCGGAATTAGACGGGCTCCGGCAGCAGGTGGCGCAATTGACGGAGGAGGTGGGGAAGAAAACAAAGGAAGCGGCGGAGCTCGCGGCTAAGGCGCAGCAACTAGCGGCCGATTTAGACAAAGCTAAGACGGACACGACCGCGGTAGACGGATTGAAAAAAGACATGGAGGAGCAGAAGAAGAAGCTTACGGAAGAGCAGCAGGCAGCAGCGGCGAGAGCAGCCAAGGCGGAGGAGGAAGCGAAGAAATGCCGAGAGGAAGCAGCAGCAAAGGAGAAGAAATATGTGACGGACGTGCGCGAAGGGAAGGTTGCTCCGCCAGGAGCGGAGGAAATCGCGGATCTGCTGGATCTATCCGTTAACCTCACGCAGCGCGTGCTGAAGCTGGAAGGCGAAGCGACCGCTGAGAAGTTTCAGACGGAAGCGAGAATAAGGACGTTGCTAGAGCAGGCGGTAGGGAGCACCGCGGAGTACCCCGAGGCGCTGCGGCAGGATCTAAAGACCACGCGCGACGCCTGCGTGCGCGCGGGGTACGCGTCGACCGAGTTGAAACGAACCGTAGCGGATCTGTCGATATACAAGCACAAGCAGAACGTCGCGGCCGCTGCTGCTGCGGCAGGGAAAACCGGGGGGGCAGCAGCGGCGGAAGGGGAGGAAGAGCCCGCAGGGCCGCTGGCTGTCTGTCGCTCCGCGCGTTGCAAGGCGACAGACGAGGAGCTGAGCCGGTTTATGAACTACACAGAGAAGGAGGTTTGCCCGGACGACTGGCATTTCGTCCAGGAGTTGATCTTCGACCGTGGCTGCCATTCCCTGCCGCGGCGCCGCTGCTTCGCGGCGAATTTCACGGGGTTTGAGGACCCGGTGCCGTTCCCGAATGCTCTATGGAACGAGAGTGCGCTCATGGATACCAACGTCAACTGGGAGCACCACACGTGCAAGTCCTTTGCGTGTTTGAAATCCGGTCCGGGGCAGGTGAATGACTGTAAGGACTGCTTTAATCTTGACGTGGAGAAGACGAGGTGGAAGGGGGGGATCAGGGGGACTATTTCCATGGAAGAAGTTTTTCATCTGACCAACAACACGCTCCGCATAGGGCTGGACATTGGCGGCGGCTCGGGCAGTTTTGCTGCCCGGATGCAGGAATTCAACTGCACGGTGCTGACCACAGGGAAGAACTGGGCCAGTCCCAAGGAAAAAAACTCTACGGAACCCACTGGGGTGCCTTATATGGAAGCGGTTGCAGCAAGGGGGCTCGTGCCGCTGTACCTGCCCTTCTCGGCGCGGTTACCGTTCTATGACAACACGATAGACGTGATTCACACGGGCACAAGCATCAACGACGTGGATTTCGAGGAGTTCGAGGAGATGTTTTATGACTGGGACCGCGTTTTGAGGCCTGGTGGGGTGATCTGGTTCGACCTGTTTTACTCCCAGGTGAGTGGGTGGGCCAGCCAGGGGGCTTGATGGGCGTGGGTGTGGTGTGATGAGTTTGAGGAGATGGATGCTTTACGACTGGGACCGTGTGTTGTGTTGAGGCTGGGCGGGGTGATCTGGTTCGACCTGTTTTACTCCCAGGTGGGTGGACTGGACCAGCCAGGGGGGCTGGTGGGCGTGGTGTGGGGTTGAAAGGGATCAGAGGAACCACATGGTGCAGGCAGGTGTGGGTTGGTGGAGTGAGCACGGTTGGGCCATTTGTCCTTCTTGCTGGTTGAGAGGTGGGCAGGAGCGGGTAATAAGGTGGGTTGGTTAGAGGGGGATGGACGGACCACATAGTGTTTTACTTATGGGGTGGGGAGTGTGTGTGGAGGGAACTTGCACATTGTGGCACAATGCACCATGAGATCTGAGCACAGGACAGTGGGAGTTAGGAGTGACCCGAGGATTTGGCCGTGGGAAATGACTGGCCTGAAGGGGAGTTGGAGAGTTAGGATGTCGGGGTTTTAAGGGGAGGGGTTTTAGGGTTTTGGGCTGCTTGGGGCCGTTGGGAAGCTGGGAAAGGCGTGAGAGAGGGAGATGCCATTCTCTTAGGTGTGCTGCTGGTAATTTTCTTAAGAGCAGCAGCTTCACCTGATCGCTGTCTTTCCTGTCCTGTCAGCATCTCCTTCCCCAGAGCATCAGCCTCATCCCCCTTGTGTTTGTCACACGCAACAGTAGGAGTGCCGTGGTTCCATCTCCTCAATTCTCTGTGCCCTCTCTGTGTCCTCTCTGTGGCCTTTGTATCCTGTAACGCGTTGCTGCTGCAGGTGCGCAAGATGCCATTGTACATGGAGATAGTGGACATGTTCAAGTACGACCAGCTACACCGTGCTGTAACACCGTCTCTGGGCGCTGCTGGCCTTTACGTGCACATGAGCTTCGTGCTGCAGAAGCCACGGCAGAGAGATTTCACCCTTCCCCTGCCTGAACCATTTGAGTGAGGGGTTACAGGAGGCAGGGGGAAGAAGGCATGGGGAAGGGAAGTTGATGGCACAACAAACTGGAAAGGAGGATAGGTGGTGCAAGGAAATAATTACTGGATTGTTTAGGTTATGTACCGGCCGTAGGCCATCTTATTTTGAGGATGTCCATTGAGTGTTTGCTGGTGGTGTTTATTGAATTATATAATTGCACCTGTAATCAAGTTTGGGATGGGATGGTAATAGAATAGTTGTTTTATTGAAGAATAATCTAGTAACGTATGCTGGTTACAGTGGTTTCGTGCATGAACTGGGATGTTCCTCGTTGTCACACCAAGAACTGGAACAGCGTGGCCAGGCGTGACGGATCCGCTGGACAGATCTGCCACGTCACTCGTGTTGATGCTCAAGAAGCCCGCACACGTACTCGGTAGAGAGCTTGCCACGTCCCTATATCGATTCCACGAGGAAACGTAAGCCTCTGACACGTGCGCTCGTGCTGGCTTTGGACCACAGTTCTCCCCCCTAGAACTGCAACCTCCACCACGAGAGGCTCTGCCTTCGTGGCCCGGAAAGCTCAGGACTGGCGACGTTTTGACTCCACGAACCAGCTGGATGGTACACTCCCATCCAGCAGCTGCCACGTGTGCGTCGACAAAGTCCCAGATGGTTTCACCCTGTGCGAGGCTATGCTTGTCAGCAACCTGGTGAACCCATCACTCCCACACCCGCTCGCGACAGAACCTCCACAGAACAGTTTCGCAGACGCTCCCGGGGCTTGGGGGTCAACTGGAGCCAGATATTTGGGAACTGAAAGGTGTGATCCTCGCGCTAAGAGTAAGTTTCCGTCACCATTCTGTCGCGGAATTGCCGGTTCAACTCGCGCTATCACTGGTGTGCAAACACCTTCTGCTTCTGAGCCTTGATTACTCATTTGGAGCGACCTTTCATTTTACGGGTTCTATTCGCCATTAGTGTTGTGCGAAACATTCCAATCCAAGTTCCCGCCAGAATCAACTTTTCACTGCCATTCACACAGCCATAACAATCTTGTCAGTCAAACCTACCGTTCCCTGCAGCATTGCCTACCTCATCCTGTCTGCAGCAGCTCAGGATTTGGTCGCTTCTTTCATGGTGTGAAGCATTCTGGGCTACACATTTTTTACGGCCGTTATAATCTATCCTGTCCACGTCGCTCAGCTGATTCGCCAGAAAAGCCACGTCGTGCGTCGGCTGTCAGAAACCCGCCACTCTCGCCATACTGAGTCATAGCCTCCGTGACTCCCGTAGGGGAATATTAGAGTCGACGAGTTACTGCGTGGGTCTGAAGCTGTGAAGGACATTAGGTGTCTTTCCTCGTGCAACGGGAGGTGTCAGTGTCTCACATTTTGCTGACAGCTTGTCTGATCAAGCAGCATCCCTGCAATGGCTTCCATATCGGTTTCTGTGGGTTCAGCCCTTCCTGTGAGGCAATCTGACTCTACTCTCAGCTCACAAGTCGTCGGCCGAGGGTCCGAATCAGCAGACTCAAGGCGAGTGGGCCTCTCCGCGTGGGACAATGGCTGTGCTGGAAAGAAGCTCCCTTTGGCGGCATCCCGTCTGTTGCGACAGAGTCGAACTAAGAGCCGGACTGTCGCTCGTGTCACCCCAACTCTCTCCTCTGCTCAACCAGCTCCTTCCCTAGGTACGTTGGTCACACTGGAAACACGTGTGTTGTTTTTGTTGTAGAACCTGGAATGGCGCTAATGTAGAGGCTAGGAACCTGTGTTCTCCGTTTTCCGGTGCATTCAGTAGTCGCATATTCAGTAAGCTCCTGTGACGTATTTTGTCATTCCTGGCTAGGAAATAGCTTTGCGTGAATTACTCCGATTGCGTGTTTTTGTTGTTGGTTTTTTTTTGTTTTTTTTTTGTCCATCAATGAGACCTGATCAACGTATGCTCGACACCTGGTGTTCCGTGCAGACAAGGAGATTAGCGTCGCGGTTCCGGACTTCGCCAAGGCCATTCCGCTCGGCCGTCACACGCTCAACGATCTAATCACCCCCGTTGAGAACGACCTTCAGATGCTGAACGAGAATCTCAAGTCGGTATGTATTGATACATAATTTGCAGCATATTCAACCGTGCTCGCTCCAACTGCTTATGGAACGTTCAACCCCGGACACGTTATGGATTGTCGAGTCGCGAAGGCGAGACGGATAGAGGACCGCGTATTTGTCAATGAAAGAAGAAGATACTGTCAATTGCTTTCAAAAATGCCGAGGCACTTTCTATAATATGCTTCTTTTATCACGTACGCACCATTTTCTCCTGTAAAGTAGCTCTAGCTTGCTTGTGATTCCAAGTCACGCCGTTCTCTCGCTCTCCTCATCTGTTTCTCCCTTTCTCTTTCCCTTTCCTACCTCCCCTTACCCAAACGACCCTTTCCCCGCTTCCTTTTTGTGCTCCACCTTTCCCCCCTCCTCTCGCGCCCACCAATGTACCTCCGCCGATCGAAGGTCGTGGGTGCACGTCACCCGGTGCTCATGTCCGCCGCGGAGCAGATATTCGGAGCGGGCGGGAAGCGCATGCGCCCCGCGCTCGTGCTCCTCGTGGCGCTCGGCACGGCAAAGCTCATGGGCCTCGAGTGAGTGCTCCCGCTGCTCGCTCTCTCGCGTTGTTAGCGCTGCTGGTGCTGTTTTTGTTGCGGATGCGCTCGGTGATCGTGCTTCTCGTACTGCTTACGTTCTCTTGCTCTTCGTGTTGCTCGTGCCACCCATGTTTCTGATCTGCTCGATCGTTGCCGCGTTCTTGCTCTGCTGATCCCCCGTATCGAGATTGCTCGTGCGGAACGCGACTAGTCGCGGAAGCCACCGTAGATTGCGCGCATGCGCTGCTGCATGCCACGCGCGGTGCTTCAGCTGAATTTCGCACGCGTAAGGAGAATGTAAGGGGATCCAAGTAGCCGAAGGAATTCTAAGCCACGCCTTACCCACCCTCCCACATATTTTCTGTCCATCCCCCTCCTCTTCTCCCTCCTCCCTCCTCCCTCCTGCCCTCTTCCGCACCTGTTCCCTCTCCCCTCTCTCCTTCCCTACTCTTCCCTTCCCCCTGGGATCCCCTCCCCGTACCGCAATCCTCCTCCTCCTCCGCTGCAGCGGCATCCAGCCGAAGCAGCGGCGGCTGGCGGAGATATCGGAGATGCTGCACACGGCGAGTCTGATGCACGACGACGTGCTGGACGACAGCAGCCAGCGCCGCGGCAAGGCCACCGTGCACCAGCTCTACGGCACGCGCGTGGCGGTGCTCGCGGGGGATTATCTTTTCGCGCAGTCGTCGTGGTTTCTCGCGAATCTGGACAATCTCGATGTGATCAAGCTCATCTCGCAGGTACGGGGGCGGGCTGGGCCGGGTGCCAACCCTAGGGTGTTCTGGGTCGTGTCAAAGCATACCTCTTCGCGCAGTCGTCGTGGTTCCTCGCGAAACTGGATAATCTCGATGTGTTCAAGCTCATCTCGCAGGTATGAGGCCGGGCTGGGGTGCGTGCGTGCTGAATTGTAGGTTGGATATGCGTTTCTTAGGCGGGGTTCGGCGTGATCCAGTTGAGAGTGTGCTTTTGAGTCAAACTCAACAGTCAACTCGACTCTTAAGAGAAGCCGGACCCAGTTCGAGGGTGTCCGTGCACTCGTGTGCTGGGCGTTGTTCTTAGAGTGGGTCCGGCAGGAGATTGTGGTGCTCTCAACGTGCTATCCAGAGCGTGGAAGAGTTGTGAATGTTGAGAGTGGGTGCGCAGAAGGGGTCTGGAGAAACGGAGCGCGTGTGTAAGGCAGTGGGGCTTGGGGACGTGAGAGAGTCACAGTCGTGAGGTGGTGATTGGAAGTATTCGAGATGATTAGTGCAAGTCATGTAACAGGGTGGGCGCACTCTTTCCACGTCCTCTCCTCCCCTCCCCGCCCCACTCCGAGCAAAACCAGATCCGCCCCTGGCTGGATCGAGCAGCCATGGGATTGGTTTTTCTTTTGCTGCCGCTACTTAGCCCCAGCCGCGCCCTCCTCTCTTCGCCCCCTCCCCTCTCCAGGTCATTGCGGATTTCGCGAACGGGGAGATCCAGCAGGCGGCATCGCTGTTTGACGCGGAGCTGACGTTTGAGCAGTACACGGAGAAGAGCTTCTTCAAGACCGCCTCACTCATTGCCGCCAGCACCAAGTCCGCTGCTATCTTCAGCGGGTGCCCGCCTGAAGCCTGCAGCGCCATGTTTGACTACGGGAAGCATCTCGGGCTGTCCTTCCAGGTGAGCGGTGTGGTGGTGGTGGTGCTGCTGCTGATGGTGATGGTGATGGTGATGGTGAGATAGTGAACAAATCAATTGTAGCACTGACATCAGACGGTTCTGTTAGATGTGCTGGCTCTGTCCCTTCACCCTTCCCCTCCTTCACCTCCCTTCCCTCCTTCACCTCCCTTTCCTCCATCTCCCTTTCCTCCTTCACTTCCCTTCCTCCACTTCACTTTCATCCTTCACCTCCCTTTTTTTCTTTGCCCCACACCCGCACAAACGGTGAAACACGTCATCAAACTACGCATACAGCCAAGCAACAGGATCAATGTGACTGTGTGGCAATGTGATACAGGCTATAAGTTCCTTATCATGACACCACCAAATTTTTCACGCATTCCTTTCCCTCCCCCTCTCCCTCCCCCTCCCCCTCTCCCTTCCCCCCAGCTCCCTCTCTCAGGTGGTACACGATACTCTGGATTTTTCCCAGGCGACTGAGCAGCTGTGGTACTTTCGGGTCGTCTGTAACATTCGCCCCCACTCCCGATCCTCCCTTCATTTCTCAGGTGGTAGATGACATTCTGGATTTCACCCAGACGACCGAGCAGCTGGGCAAACCTGCAGGTTCGGACCTAGCCTCGGGGAACCTCACAGCGCCGGCGCTCTTCGCCCTGCGCCACCCCACCATTGGCCCCCAGCTGCGGGAACTGGTAGACAGCGAATTCGTGGAAGAGGGGTCTCTAGAGCAGGCAGTCGAGCTGGTGCTGGCGAGTGGAGGGGTTGAGAAGGCGAGGGCCATGGCTGAGGAGCATGGGAGGAGTGCCAAGAGGTCTCTGGAGATCCTTCCGGAAGGGGATGCGAAGCGGTCGCTAATGGGCATGGTGGATTATGTTCTCGAGAGGTTGTTTTAGCGGGCAGGTGGATGGATTGACAAATGGGTGGATGGGAGGAGCATGGGAAGACGAAAAGTGGGTTCTTGAGATCCTTCCAGAAGGGGGTGCGAAGTGGTCATTATTGGGCATGGTGGATTATGTGTTGGAGAGGTTGTTTTAGCACGGGGGTGGATGGATATGGATGGATGGACGTGTGGTGGGTGGATAGGTAGAGTGAGAGAGGGAGAGGGCATGGCTGGGCTGGTTGGCAGTGCTGGTTGGTGTGTTGCTGTTTGTTAGATATTTAGAGTTTGTTGCTCTTTCTCCTTTCTGGTGTCAGGCGTTCTTATGTCTCTCTTCCCACTGCTGACGCTTCTGTGGGGGAGGGGGATACAATTGGCAGTTCAGCCAAGGAAGAAGTGGGAGAGGGCATGAGCATGGGTATTCAGTGTAGTGGGGAGGGAGAAAAGGAAGAGCATCTTGAGACAGACTTGAAGAGTTGGGTGCTGCTGAGATACACTTGGTGAAACGGGAAAAGTGTTTTGTTTCTGTCCTACTAGATGAATGTATATAACATTGTCCAACCTCTTTGAAGTGAAATTCCCACCTGGAATAGTAACGTAAATTCCTACACATACTCCATATTAGGTTACCAGTGATGGGCAGTTGTAAGACCTTTATAGGCCGTCACCATAAGTAACCATAAACCATAACCATTTCTCATTTTACCCGCTACTACCGTATGGCTCACTCAACCCTGCACAACTAGGCACCTACGTGGTAGTAATGATGAGAGAGCGGCAAAGGTGCTGGCGGTTATGCCAGACCGGATGTACTAGTGCTTCTTGCTGGACCGGGGTCTCAGAAAGTGAATGCAACGGAATGAATGAACTAGGCAGCAGTTGGATACAAATAGAAACCCTAAGTGGGTTATCCCCTCTAGAGGGCATCTCACTACAACCAGGGTCCACGATATCAGGGTAAAACATCCTGATTACCCTGATTTCAGGATGGTGTTTTAAGGTTGCCCTGGAATTTCAGAATGACGCTGAAATTTACCCTGTAACTTCAGGATGATTCATGTGTTTTGCCCTGACATTTCAGGATGGCAGTGAAATTTTGCCCTGAAGCGTTAGGGTGAATGTAGAGGGATGCCTTGACTCGTAGTAAGGGGAAGAAGGGGTGGAGGGGGGGGACAGGGGGAGAGGGGAAGAAGGAGGCTGGGGGGTGTGTGTGCTAGTTTGTCCCCACCCCTCCCCCTCCAAAGTTTTTGCTCAGCCAGTTGCAGTGAAACCACAACCTGCTCCTCCCGTGCCTTCCTCTCCATTCCACTGTCTTGTATTTTTTGCCCTGAAACATCCAGATGAATTTCTGCTGGTGCCCTGAAATTTCAGGATGGCCAGGGAATTTTGCCCTGGAAAATCTGGGCATTTTGGAAAGTTTTCAAAAGTTGCCCTGAGGGCTCAGGGTGCCCTAAATCCTAACACAGGCCCTGACTACAACCAATAACAAATAATCGCATTTGACACACCCCCATAGGCTAAGTGAGGGGCATCTAAGCAAGCAGGGTGAACAAATAGTCACAAGACCAGTCAAGACAAGAAGCAAAGCGAACTCAGGGTGGATCTCAAGGACACCACACGAATTCCGAGCACAAGCAAGCGGCCACAAGGCCAGTTCAAGAGAGTACAATACGATATATATAAGGGCAATGACAAACAGAACAAGCAACAGGAGTAACACTACAGCAAGCAAGGGCCTACCTCAACAAGCCCTAGCTGCACGCAAAACCTGTGGTGGTCACCAGTCGCCAAGACCTTGGTGAAGACGTCAGCAATGTTGGCCTTTGAGGCCACAAAGTCCAAGTGTACCTGGCCGCGTCACTGTAGCTCTCGCAGGAGAAAGTACCTCACGTCAATATGCTTCACTCTGCTCTCCAGTCGAGGCTCTCGACACAGGAGGATCATGGCTTTGGTGTCAGCGTACGAGGTCGGCGCAGAGCGAGTCCGCTCACCAAGTTCGGCGAGCAAGAAGGTTAACCAGCGGAGCTCCTGTGCCGCCATGGCACCAGCGTAGATCTCTGCCTCTGCACTGGACGAAGCCACAGACGACGACCGTGTGGACCTCCACGACACGGCACCAGCACCCAGACTGAAACAGTAACCCTGAGTCGAACGCTGGGTCTCCGCGTCGTCAGCGTAGGAAGAGTCGAAGTGACCGGTCAACTCAACTGGCTGTGTCCCTCCAAACACAAGCCCCATGCCTGATGTAGTCACCAGGTACTTCGCCACCCTCACAGCAGCTATCCAATGAACACGACGGTGTCTCCCAGTCGCAACAAAGCGAGAGAGGACACTGAGGGGAAAGGCGAGGTCCGGCCGAGTACAAGTCATCAGGTACACGAGGCAGCCCACAAGCTCTGCGTAGGGACCACTAGACTCAAAGGGCTTGTCGGGAAAAGGGCCAGTGAGACGGTGGTCAACGGCAAGAGGAGTGGGTTTTGTGGTGGAGAACTGAAACCCGAACCGCCGAAGGACCTGTTGCACCATGTGTGACTGAGTCAGTGTGATGGTGCGAGCGGCTCTGTCCCTGGTGATCTGCAGGCCAAGGTAGCGCTGCAGCTCACCGAGGTCAGTGCACGTGTGTCTCTTCTGCAGTTCGGATTTCACCTCCGCCAGTGCTGCCCTGTCAGCTATAGCAAACACCAGGTCGTCGACGTAGACCAGGATAAAGAAGGGAGTGGGGCCATTGCGAACAAACAGCGACGGGTCAGCAGAGGAGGGACGAAACCCTAGGCCATGAAGTGTGGAGCGCAGAGTGTCGTGCCACTTACGGGGCGACTGGCGAAGACCGTAGACTGGCCGCCTCAAGCTCCACTGAGTCCCAGGTGGGAAGGTGTCAGTGAAACCAGGAGGATTGCGCAGCCAGATCTCCTCGTGTAAGCGGCCCTGGACGAAAGCAGTGGAGAAGTCAAGAGAGTACAGCTCGTAGTCTCGCTGTGCTGCTACGTGGAGTAACACCCGAAGAGTAGTCATCTTCGGGGTCGGGGCGAAGGTCTGGAAGAAGTCAACTCTCTCACGCTGTCTGAAGCCCCTAGCCACGTAACGCGCCTTGAACACATGCGGTGATCCAGGCGGCCATTTCACCTTGAAGAGCCACATGTCATCGACAACGTTCGCCCTGGGAGGGGGAACTGCGTCGACGTAGGTGCCTGTGGATCTTCAAGATGCCAACTCTGAGTCCATGGCCGCTTTCCACTAAGAGGCCCACTTCCCTGACACTGCCTCACGGTATGTGCGAGGAGTCGGTATGTCAAGGGCGTTGGGGTCACCCTCAGGGGAAAGCGGCTTGGCACAAAGAGAGGGGGAAGCGGCTGCCAAGAACTCCAGCTCAAATTGCCTGTCCTCGAGGACGTCACCCCCGGCAGCCTCAGGACGGGCAGGCGGGGCAGCCACGACACGCGTGGCAAAGTCAAGGCGGTGGGTGGATGCAAAGTCAGTGACAGCGGCTGTGAGAGCGGAGACAGACGGCGGAGAGGCACGAGGGTCGGTGACAAGAAAGGCGAGAACACGCGAGACAACAGGACACGCCGTACGGTAGTAGTCAGTGATAGGGTGAGAGGAGACAGTGAGAGACGACGCAGGAGGTGACGGGAGAACAGACTCTGGTGGAGTACGACGAGGACTGGAACAAAACAAGGCAGTGCGGAGGTCGGCAAGAGGAGACGAGGGACGAGCACGCGGGGGACAACGAGCGGTCCAGTCGTGCGGGACAACAGGAGGAGGTGACCGTGACTGAGGAGGAGGGAAAACAGCCGGAGACGAGTCCGGAGGAGGAAACGTAGGACCGTAAGTGGGCAGTGACTGCGGGTGGACAGGAGGAGGGGAGGGAAGTCCAAGGGCTCAAAGGCCACTCACTGGTGTGACCAGGGGCTGCGGTGGCTGCTGCTGGTGCTGCTGCTGCTGCTGCTCTTGCGGCTGCTGCTGCTGCTGCTCCTCCTGCCGGTCCAACTGTCGCAGCTACTGCTTCTCCTGCTCCAAACGCTTCTGCTCCTCGTGCTCAAGGCGTCGAAGATCCTGGAGACGTGTGTAGTAGCAGGGTGGGGCCGAGCCGCCAGCTCCCGCCTCCTCAGTGCCACTACCTCCAGCGTCGGCACCCTCGGCTCCACCGTCCCTAGTACGAGCACCGCCAGCGCCAGTACCTCCACCTCCACCACCCCCAGAGCTAGCACCTCCAGTGCCAGCACCTCCAGCTCCAACACCCCCAGAGCTAGGACCTCCAGTGCTACCACTGCCAGCTCCAACACCCTCAGAGCTAGCACCTCCAGTGCCAGCACCTCCAGCTCCAACACCTCTCGAACGAGCGCCCTCAGCCCGAATACCTCCAGTGGCAGCACCTCCAGCTCCAACACCACCTGAGTCCACAGTAACCTGTCGCGGAAGTGCCGAAGGCTGCTGAGGTGACTATGAGGAGGACTGCGGGGAGGGAGACACTACCTGACGCGCGACCGAGGGGAGAGGGGTAGCGTGAGACACACCTGACGGGGCAGGACCAGGGTGGGGCGGGGTGAACCCGAGGAGCGATAGCAAGAGGAGGAGAGGGTGCGAGGAAAAGAGGAGGAGGGGGGACCGGGAGACCTCGACAGGGGTACCTGGTGTAGTAGGACACTGGCTCGTGAAACCAGACGTTACGAGAGTCGAGAAACTGGTGGAGGGGCGGGTGGTAAAAGGAGTAGTTGGAAGAACCCACAGGGAAACCAAGGAAGACACAGGGGATGGCGCGAGCCGAGATCTTATCCGCAGAGGTATCGCGGACAAGTGCAAGGCAGCCCCAGACACGAAAGACCGACCCAACACTAGGGGACCCGGTCCAAAGACTGGTCGGTGAAGCCTCTGGCCGCGAGACACGCGGTTGGAGGTTCAGCTGGTGGGCGGCGTAGCGCACCGCGTAGGGCCGCAGAAAATGGGGCGCACAGGCATGGATCATGGACGTACAAGCGATGTCCATGATCAAGCCAATACGGCGCTCAGCAACCCCATTCTGCTGTGGGGATTTTGGAAGCGTCCAGGTCTGTATGATGCCCTGCTCGCCACAGAACCCGGCAAGAATGCCAGAGCGAAACTCACCCCCACGGTCGGAGTGGAGACAACTGACACGACTACCACAAGTGCCCTCAGTGGCTAGAAGCCACCGGATCAGCGTAGCAGTCACCTCGGACCTCTTCGCGAGAGGAAACATTGTGGTGTACCTGGAGTAGTCGTCGACGACCACCAAAAAGTAGCGTTCCTTCCCACCAGTCGTCGTCGACGATCCCTGCATCGGGGCAGGGCCCCAGACGTCCAAGTGGAGAGTCTAGAAGGGAGCACTGGCCGGACGAAGGGAGAAGGAGTGCGGAGTGGCTCGTAGGCGGCCAGCGACCCAAGGGGCGCAAGGTGGAGCAAGCGAGTGAGGGAGCGACGGAAAGACGCGCGGGAAACCTGAGACAAGACTGTGACTGGCCATGCTGCGGAGGCGGGGGAGCGACGAGTGGCCAAGGCGGTGGTGCCACAAGACGGTCGGGTGGGCTTTGGACCGACAGGAGCAAGACGCAGCAACTAGACCGGACACAGCAACCTGACCGGACACAGCAACCGGTGGGGACGCAGTAACCTGACCGGACTCTGCTACCAGGGGGGACGAAGCAACCTGACCAGACGCAGCTACCTGCGGGGGCGGAGTGTGCAGGACGAAGAGACCTGAGTGGGGCTCTCTGGTGAACGTGGCAAGAACTGCCTCGGTGGAAGAGTCCGTACAGATCTTAGTCCTCCCGTGCGCAGGAAAAGTGACTGTGATCCCCCGGTCCTGAAGGTATCCAACACCCACCAAGTTCCGAGATAACGAGGGGATGTAGAGACCAGTGAGGAAACCATAGGGGACAGCTGGGCACGGGAGAGTGGTCGAGATGCAAGCAACTGCTGGTCCTGAAGTAGGATCAGCCAGGGAAACTGGGACTGGAGCCGAAAGAGGTGTGACAGTGGTGTGGTCGCGGAAGAAGCACTACGACGCGCCGAAGTCCAGCGTGAAGGAGAGCGACGCAACCGCAGTCGTCACGCCTGGGCTAGTGACTACACAAGCACCTACACTAAAAGCACAAGTACCGACACTAGCAATAGGCAAATGTCCTAAGCTAGGTACACGTAAGCCAAGAGATCCGTACGTGACAGAATAAACAGCATCCATAGATATATCAAACACAGGGTAACCACTACGAAACAGACCGGGCCAGATCGGGGGAGCCGACTCAGGCCCAAAACGCCCACGGTAGAGGTCGTCGAGGCGACTATAGCAGCGCTGTGCAGAGTGGTCAGGACGCCAGCAGGTAGTGCCAGCACCACGGCCGGTCAGGATCCAGTACTGGCAGGGGCCGACGTCGCGGCCACCGCGACAAGCCCCCAAGCTGGCTGGGCCGCTGCTGCAGCCAACGTTACCCGAACCACCAGGCCCCCACGGCTGCTGAGGGCGCCACAGCTGCTGAGGGCGGAGCTGCTGCTGAGGGCAGAGCTGCTGCTGAGGGCGCCACTGCTGCTGCAAGTGCCACTGCTGAAGTGGGCGCCACTGCTGAAACTGCCGCTGTTGCTGCCCTTGCTGCTGGAGAACCCTAGTGGACGCCATGATAAAGGCTAGGAGCGACAGGAGCTAGGGACGGCTGCAATGAAACAACGAGAACAACTAGGAGCGTCAGGTGAAACTAGGCAAGGAACGGCTGGAGCACGGAACAAAATGAGCTAGGAGCGCCAGGTGAAACTAGGCGAGGAACGACCGGAGCACAGAGCAATCTGAGCTAGGAGCGAGGAGCGAAAACGTCTGGAGCTAGAACGGCTGGAGCTGAAACGGCTGGAGCTAGAACGGCTGGAGCGAGAACGGCTGGAGCTAGGCACGGCTGGAGCTAGGAGTGGCTGGAGCTAGAACGGCTGGAGCTAGAGACTGTAAGTGCGGCTGTCGGCTGCCGCTAGTAGAGCCACTGGCAGTGGAAAGTACGTGCGACAGTAGGGGCTATAGTACTGACGGTCGTCCGGCAAGCAGGAACGCAAGCGACAGTTGCAGCCCCCCATCCTGAACCCACGCCCCCCCCCCCCCCCCCCCCCCCCCCCCCCTTTTTTTTTTAGGGTTTAATTAATTAATTTATTTTCTGGTGCTAAAGCGCTGCGGGGCGCGCTGCCTGCAGGGTGTGCTGCCTGCGGGGCGCGCTACCCGCGGGGCGCGCTACCTGTGGGGCACGATACCTGCGGGGGCGCGCAGCCTAGGGGCAGGGCGATGCACAGGCTAGGGGCAGGGCGCACGGGCACGCACGGGCTAGGGGCAGTGCGCACGGACGACGTGACGGGCTGGGGCAGGGCGCATGGGCGACGCGACAGGCTGGGGCAGGGCGCACAGGCTACGCGACGGGCAGGCCCCTATATTCGTTTTGGGGCACGCTGATCGATCAGCGTGCACCCCTCGTGGATCTCTGGCAGCCAGAGTTGCCCCAAGGAATCTTGCCAACTCTGCCTGCTGCGCAGCCGCGATTGGTTGGAATTGAAGCTGATATCGGCATTCCTGTACCAACGCGACTGTGCGGTGCCACGATCGGGAAGCTTTGGTTTCCCGCCCGTGATTGACGGTGTTAGTGCTACACGCCGCCAGGCTGGCGGAAATCCCTGTATTACCGATTTCCGAGTGCACCCCCAATACAAGGCTGAGGGCTCAGCCTACGCTCATAAAATTAGGCTGAAATTTCAGCCAAGTCATAAAAATAAAACTCTGAAAAACCAGACAAGGTACATAAGGAAAACTTTGAGTTCAGGCTAGGTACCAGAAAAAAGCCTGAACGAACTCTGAATCAGAGTAAAAAGTCTGATATCTAGGGCACTGGCGATGGGCTAGGGCAGGGCGCACGGGTTACGCGACGGGCTGGGGTAGGGGCCACGGGCGACGCGAAGGGCTGGGGCGGAGGCGCGATACGGAGGGCATGGAGGGCGCGTAGGGGAGGGCTAGGCGCGGAGGCGCGGATGGCGCGTTACGGAGGGCGCGGAGGTCGCTCTACGGAGGGCGCGGAGGTCGCAGAGGGCGCGTTACGGAGGGCGCGTTACGGGAGGCTAGGGCGCGGAGGGCGCGTGACGGAGGGCGCGTAAGGCGCGGAGACGCTCTAGAGCGCTGAGGGCGCGTGACGGAGGGCGCGTAAGGCGCGGAGGCACTCTAGGGCGCGAGGTAGGCTAGGCTAGGCAAGGATGCTAAACCTACTCGTGATACCATCTCAGAAAGTGAATGCAACGGAATGAATGAACTAGGCAGCAGTTGGATACAAATAGAAACCCTATGTGGGTTATCCCCTCTAGAGGGCACCTCACTACAGCCTATAACAAATAATAGCATTTGACATGGGGAGACGTGTTTTGAGTCGACTCAAAGTGGTGACGAGAGAGGCAAAGGTGCTAGCAGTAATGCCAGACCGCTTGTACTAGTGCTTCTTGCTGGACCGGGGAGGCAGCTGAGAGGACACATGGAAGAGAACAGGTGACGGGGAGAGAGGGGGTGGCGGGGAGAGAGGGTGAGAACGAATAAGAGAGGAGGAAAGGAGGGAAGGAGTGAGGCGGGGAAGAGAGGGGAGTAGAGGGGAGGAGAGGGGAGTAGAGGGGAGGAGAGGGGAGGAGGAGGGAGTGATGGAGCCAGGGGAGGAGGCATTATGTATGGAGAAGGCACAGATAAGGGAGAGAACGTCGAGGGAAATAACAGAGGCGAAATGGCACAGTTTGAGTGGGATTGATCCACCCTTCCCCCCCCCCCCCCCCCCCCCCCCCCCCCCCCCCCCCCCCCCCGCTTTTCCCCCTCTTCCCCATGCGTCCCTGACTGACCTTGGGTGGGCGTCGGAGCATCTCAACCACGCTGTATAGCCCGTGAGCCGGCCCGTATGCCTGCGCTATGTCCAGAGGGGTGCGCCCGTCCTGCACGGGGGGCCAGAGGCAGGGAAGGGGAAGAGAGGGGAGGGGAAGAGAGGGGAGGGGAAGAGAGGGGACGGGACGGGGGGAGGGGTTGACACAGAACCAGGGGTATAGCCCGTGAGCCGGCCCGTATGCCTGCGCTATGTCCAGCGGGGTGGGCCCGTACTGAACGGGGGCGAAGCGGAGGGGGAGGGGAGGGGGAGAGGAGGGGGAGAGAAGGGGGAGAGAAGGGGGAGAGGGGACAGGGGTTCGGGGAAAAGAGATGAAGAGAGATAGAAACAGGCGCATAGACAGACTGTGCGCTGATATTCGAGTTGGCTCGAAAAGCGTACAGACTGTGAACCAGCCCATATGCCTGTGCTACGTAAAGGTTTTTTTTAGAAAAAGCAAAGACAGACTGTGCGCTGATATTCGAGTTGGCTCGAAAAGCGTACAGACTGTGAACCAGCCCATATGCCTGTGCTACGTAAAGGTTTTTTTTAGAAAAAGCAAAGACAGACTGTGCGCTGATATTCGAGTTGGCTCGAAAAGCGTACAGACTGTGAACCAGCCCATATGCCTGTGCTACGTAAAGGTTTTTTTTAGAAAAAGCAAAGACAGACTGTGGGCTGATATTCGAGTTGGCTCGAAAAGCGTACAGACTGTGAACCAGCCCATATGCCTGTGCTACGTAAAGGTTTTTTTTAGAAAAAGCAAAGACAGACTGTGTGCTGATATTCGAGTTGGCTCGAAAAGCGTACAGACTGTGAACCAGCCCATATGCCTGTGCTACGTAAAGGTTTTTTTTAGAAAAAGCAAAGACAGACTGTGCGCTGATATTCGAGTTGGCTCGAAAAGCGTACAGACTGTGAACCAGCCCATATGCCTGTGCTACGTAAAGGTTTTTTTTAGAAAAAGCAAAGACAGACTGTGCGCTGATATTCGAGTTGGCTCGAAAAGCGTACAGACTGTGAACCAGCCCATATGCCTGTGCTACGTAAAGGTTTTTTTTAGAAAAAGCAAAGACAGACTGTGCGCTGATATTCGAGTTGGCTCGAAAAGCGTACAGACTGTGAACCAGCCCATATGCCTGTGCTACGTAAAGTTTTTTTTTAGAAAAAGCAAAGACAGACTGTGCGCTGATATTCGAGTTGGCTCGAAAAGCGTACAGACTGTGAACCAGCCCATATGCCTGTGCTACGTAAAGGTTTTTTTTAGAAAAAGCAAAGACAGACTGTGCGCTGATATTCGAGTTGGCTCGAAAAGCGTACAGACTGTGAACCAGCCCATATGCCTGTGCTACGTAAAGGTTTTTTTTAGAAAAAGCAAAGACAGACTGTGCGCTGATATTCGAGTTGGCTCGAAAAGCGTACAGACTGTGAACCAGCCCATATGCCTGTGCTACGCAAAGGTTTTTTTTAGAAAAAGCAAAGACAGACTGTGCGCTGATATTCGAGTTGGCTCGAAAAGCGTACAGACTGTGAACCAGCCCATATGCCTGTGCTACGTAAAGGTTTTTTTTAGAAAAAGCAAAGACAGACTGTGCGCTGATATTCGAGTTGGCTCGAAAAGCGTACAGACTGTGAACCAGCCCATATGCCTGTGCTACGTAAAGGTTTTTTTTAGAAAAAGCAAAGACAGACTGTGCGCTGATATTCGAGTTGGCTCGAAAAGCGTACAGACTGTGAACCAGCCCATATGCCTGTGCTACGCAAAGGTTTTTTTTAGAAAAAGCAAAGACCAGATATGCCCACACACTATGTCCAAAAGGGAGCGCCCATCCCCTCACATGCCATACACCCCCCCTCGTCCTGCCTCCTCTCCCCTCCTCCCCCTACCGAGACATCTCAAAAGTAGTCAACTCTTACGCAAATCCTTAACCGACTCATCCCCCCACCTCACCCTCTACCTCCCAGTCCTTCCAACACCGAACCAGGTCCCCCATATTCCCTTCCAACCCCACCCCTACGCCCCCTATCTTTCCCCCACCTGTGCTTGCACGCGCGTCTTTCCCCCCAGCACCAGCAGTGCTCGCACCATCTCTATCCGCCCGCTTTGTGCGGCCACGTGCATGGGCGTCCATCCCCACTGGTGAGCACAGGTGATGGGAAGTGTGGGAAAGGGAGAGGGAAGGTTAGTGAGGAAGAGAAAAGGGTAGGAGGGAAGGGAGGAGTAAGAGGTCGCACCATCTACATTTGCCCGCCCTTTGCTGCAACGTGCATGGGCGTTTTTTGAGGCGCCTCAAACAACGTGCATGGGCGTTTTTTGAGGCGCCTCAAACAACGTGCATTGGCGTCCCGTCCATCCCCACTGGAGGTGAGCCGCGGGTGATGGGAGGACTTTTGAGTCGACTCAAACGTCGCATGGGCGTCCATCCCCACTGGAGGCCACAGGCGATGGGAGGGGGGTACGGCTGGGGTCGGAATGGCATGAGACTAGGGAATAGAACAGACAAGTGACTTCTTGGTGGAGTAAAAAATCAGGTCACGGGGAGCACATAATATTGCCAAGAATAAATGACTTCTTTCACCCCACTTTCCCATGAGGCGAGGGGGGAGTTTTGAGACGTCTCAAAAGTCAGCTCACGGGGAGCACATAATATTGCCAAGAATAAATGACTTCTTTCACCCCACTTTCCCATGAGGCGAGGGTGGAGCCATACTGCTGTCCATCGGCTATCCCCTCGGCTGTAGACCCCCCCTCAGTCACATGGCATGGCATGGCATGGCATGGCATGGCATGGCGTGGCAGCAGTACCTGGTCGGCAGCGTTGACGTCTGCTCCCTTCTGCAGCAGCAGACGTGCCATCTCCACGTTGCCCGTCCTCACTGCATGGTGCAGCAGCGTGGCTCCGTGCTGTGGTGTGGCAGGGAGAGGGGAGGGAGGAGAAGAGGACATAGAACAGAAGAAACATGCTTTTGCAATTGCAATCAGAGCAGCCATGCCATCTCCACGTTGCCTGTGCGCACTGCATGGTGCAGCCACGTGGCTCCGTGCTGTGGTGTGACCAGGCAGGGAGAGGGGAGGGGAGGGAGGGGCAGGGGACATGGAGCAGAACAGAACGGACAGGCCTTTGTAATCAGAGCAGCAGCAGCTGTGCCATCTCCACATTGCCGGAGCGCACCGCGTGGTGCAGCAGCGTGGCTCCGTGCTGTGGAGTGCCAAGGCAGGGAGAGGGGAGGGAGGGAACAGGGGACATGGATCACACAAGCTTCCATATTGATTGACAGGTGCCTTCTGTAGCAGCAGCAGGCGTGCCAGCCATCTCCACACACATTGCCTGCCTGCCTGTCCTCACTGCCTCGTGCAGCAGCGTGGCTCCAGCGGAGAGGGAGGGAGAGAGAGGAAGCACACGCAAGAGGAGAACAGGGTCTCGTATTTCCAGGCTAGCTTCGTGTCGTAGCAGCAGCTTCGCCATGGCTAGCCGCCCCCTTTCCCCTCCCAATCCCCCGTCTCACTTACCCCCTCCCTTCCTCTTCACTCCCCCCCCATCCACCCCACCCACCTGGTCTCTGATCTCCAGGCTAGCTCCGTGTTGCAGCAGCAGCTTCGCCATGGCCAGTCACCCCACTTCCCCCCCAATCCCTGTCTCACGTACCCCATCTCATTCTCCCCCCTCCCACCCAATGCCCCTGCACCTGGTCTCGTATTTCCAGGCTCGCCACGTGTCGCAAGCAACTTTGCCATGGCCAACCGCCGTCTCACTAACCCCATCCCGTCCCCCCAATCCCCTCCCCCCCCCCTCTCCTCTCCTCCCACCTGGTCTCGGATCTCCAGGCTCGCCCCATGTCGCAGCAGCAACGCTCAGTCACTCACTGAACACTCCTATACTACCCGCCCCTTCTTTCCCTTCTCCTCTCCACCCACCTGGTCGCGGATTTCAAGGCTCGCTCCGTGTCGCAGCAGTAGCTTCGCCATGGCCAGCCGCCCCCCTGCCACGGCGTGCTGCAGTGCTGTCGTGCCGTCCTGATGGGCGTGCAGGGGGAACGGGGGGGTGGATGGACGGACGGATGGTGCAGGAAAGGGAGGGTATGCGCGTAAGAGTTTGTCTCTCATGGCCAGCCGTCCCCCTGCCAATGCGTGCTGCAGTGCTGTCGTGCCGTCCTGATGGGCGAGCAGGGGGGGTATACACACAGTGGGGTGCCTCAAAACTAGCCACGAGCATGCCACCTCGCCTCAAAAATAGCCATGAACAGCCACGAACACCGCGCTCAGATGCGTTCCATCATATCAGTGAGTGGGTGAGTGAACGATGAGGTGAAGTGAGTAAGTGAAGGAGCGAGCGAGTGAATGAGATAGTCAGCACCAGCACCAGGACCAGCAGCAGCAGCAGCAGCAGCAGCAGCAGCAGCAGCAGCAGCGGCAGCAGCAGCACCGCCACCACTCACAGCATCAAGGGCGTCAACAGCAGCACCGCTGGCAAGCAGGTGGGAGACAAAGGGCGTCTGCCCCGTGGCTGCCATGGTGTGTAGCGCCACCCACTTGGGCTGTAGGCACAGGTGGGGAGGAAGGAGGGAGGGGGCAAAAGTGAAAGGGCGAAAGGGGAAGAATTTTGAAGGCCGAAGATTTGAGGTGCCTTAAGACAAAGGGCGTCTGGCCTGTGGCTGCTATGTTGTGTAGCGACACCCACTTGGGCTGTAGGCACACGGGGGGGAAAGGGGAGAGGGGGGGGGAAGAGGGAGGTAGGGGGAGCGGAGGGAAGAGGAAAGGGGAAAGGGACGGATGGAAAGGCGTCACCGAGGAGGCCAATTACTATGAGGCGCCTCAAAGGCCAATTTCCACGTAATTTCTTAGAATTCTCAGAAGCGTGACAATTTCTGAGGAGCCTCAAAGAGTCCGAAATTCAAAATGTGTGAAAAACAAACTCCAAGTGTTATTTTCTTTTGAAGTGTTCAGAAAGAAGCTGCTTTTGACAGTCAAAATACTGTTAATAGACTTACAGAGGAGGTCATGACCACATTGGTTGCTGGGGCCCGCTGCTTCAGCCCCTCTGCTACCTCCACCGCTGCTGTTGCTCCCTCCTCTGCTGCTGGGGTTGTTGATGGTAATGTTGCTACTGCTGCTGCAGATGCTGCTGCTGCTGCTGCTCGCTTGCCCAGCTTTTGTTGCAAGTGGCAAGGCGAGGAGCAAGGGAGGGGTTGTGTTAAAGGGGGGGGAAGCAAGGGGAACACGAGAAGGGGGTGACGGATAAGGGGACGGGGTAGAAGAAAAGACAGGAGGAAACAAAAAGCATTCAGTGTGTTTTGGGCGGAGGAAAGAGGAATGCTCTGGACATCTGGATTTTGACAAGTGACTTTTGAGTCAACTCAAACGTCATCTGGGCGGAGGAAAGAGGAATACTCCTCTGGACATTTGGATTTTGAGACGTCTCAAAAATGGAAACAGAATCAGCAGGTGGAAGGAAGGAACATGAAGAGGAGAACGAGAACGAGCTCACGTCATCTGGAACCGTCTCTTCCAATGCATCTTCCAACCAGTCCCAGTCCTCCTCCTCCTCTTCCTCCTCCTCTTCACCCCCCTCCCCCACCCTCCGCCCCTCCTTCCCTGCCCTCGCGCCTGATCCCACAGCGCCCCTTCTCACGCCAATACCAAGTGCGCCCGCTTCCCCCAACCTTCCAACCGCACCAGCCGTACCAGCAGCACCAGCAGCAGCAGCAACAGCAGCACCACCAGCGGCACCACCAGCGGCACCGCCGGCAGCAGCAGCGGCAGCGTTGGCGCGGCGGGCAGCAACCTTAGCCTGGGCGTGCCTCCTCTCCTCATCCAACCGTTCCATCTTTCTCACCTTCTTCGTCTTACTCGCCTCCTCCTGCACCCACCGCCACTGCTCCGGCACCAAACCCTCTCTTTCCTCCTCCTCCCCCTCTCCCTCCTTCTCTAGTGCTGCTGCAGGAGTCTCAACTCGTGCCGTCTTGAGCATTCCTGCCCCTTGTTGCGACTGCCACTTGGCGCCCTCACCCACACCACTCGTTTCACCTGTCCACCCGCCCCCACCAACCCTGCCGTTGCTGCTGCTGCTGCTGCTGCTGCTGCTGCTGCCACTGCTGCTCACTGGAGGCGAGGGTTCGAATCCTGTTGGAGATAGATTCAGCACGGCAGGGTCCAACACGGAGGCTTTCAGAGAAACTGGCGCGAACATTGACAGATCATCCATGTCCACGTCATTCATGATCCAGCTCATCCCCGCCCCGGGATCCCCTTCCGCCGCCTCCTCCCCTTCCGCCACCCCCGGCGTTCCCCCTATCCCCGCCCCAGCGGCTGCGCCCGCGCCAGCGCTTCCGCCGAAGTCCCTCTCCCGCGCGCTCCTCGGCAGCGGGTTGCGCGGGATTCCCGGGAGCAGATCCGCCTCCATGTCTGCCACGTCATCCATGTCATCGTACACGTCATCATCGTCCTCCCCCTCCGAGTCGCTACCGTCGCTATAACCCCTTCCCCCTAACCGCTCCTGGCGGAGAGATTCCGCTTCTTTTCTCCCGCGACTTGCGCCGTCCGCAGGGCCCCTTTCGCCAGGCCCCTTGCGCCTGGGGAACGGGGGAGGGCGCGCGGAGGAATTCCCGCCTTTCCGCTCATCGATCGTGCGCCCCTTGCGCTCCACTATTGGCTGACCGAATCGCCGCCCTTCGCGGCCAATCTGGTGGCCGAACAGATCGGACGGCGGCGACCCCCCTCCTCCACCACCTCGCGCGCGATTCCAATTTTGCTTGCCGCTATCTCCCCTTCCTCCTCCCCCTCCTCCCCCTCCTCCGCGGCCGCCGCCATCGCCTCCGCCGCCGTAACTAGCGGTGCTGTTCGCTGAGCGCGCTGCGCGTGGTTGGCCGTCGTTGCGCTCGCTAGTCGCGGAAGGGGCGCGGGGAGCTAGCGCGTGCGCCGTCTCGAGAACCGCGGGCGTGGAGGAAGAGAGGGGGCGGGTGAATTGGGGCAGTTGGCGAAGGGCGATGCGCGGATGGATGTTAGCGGGAGTCGCGAAGCCAGTGGTAACCACCGCGTGGAGCATTTTGACCCGCATTTTTCGCGAGCAGAATCGGATCGCCACGCTCGTAGTACGTGGGCACACGTGGAACGAAAGTGGAACGCTCGAGGTCCACGTGTGTAGACTGTAGATTAAAGAGGTATGTGCGGGGAAAGAGGCTGGAACTAAACACCACCACCGCCACTACTGAACCCGAAACCCAGATAATTATGCAATTGAGCGAAGGTTTTGTGAACGCCGACTGTAGAATTTGGAGTGCTTGTTACCAGATCACTCCAAAAAGGATAACGCTGCTGTTTGCTCCGCAAGAAGGCAACCAAACTGATCCTTTCCCAAATCAAATACAGCATTCGTAGATCGTTTCTAAATCAGACCACAAATATATTTCATACAAAGAAACCGACATGCCTCCATAATCTGACAGCGGTGTAGATCCCAGCGAGAAGATTAGTTTCCCCTCCAACACAGGTTGCTGAACTTGCTACTGCGAGGGCCATAGTACGGTAGTAGTTGGGGAAAACGTACCCACGATGCTTCTGTCAGAAACTGAGAATAAACTAAGGGGACATACACGGGGGGGTAATGTAGTAACCCATACCCTCTACAGCACAACAACCCAACCTAGCCTAACTATGTACAACGCAATTCAACATGAACACTTGCACCCTCTGAGCATCAGCACGAGCCAACTGAAAGCAGTCAAAGCGTGCCGCCAATCACAGATTTCGACTTCGATATCACCATCTTCCCGCAGAGCGCATAATCGTTCGTATCAGTCGCAACATGCCAATAAGAACCAGGATCCATAAACGTCTTCATAATATCTAAAGACTTCTGCAAATGCCCTGGCCTATAATGGTACCACTTATAAAAAGCGTAGCGCGGTTTACGGCCTTTCTTGGGGGGCTTGGTCATGTTAACATACGAGACTTGCGGGTCTTGGTCCCAGGTAGTGCCCGCAGCAGTGCAGGAAGTGCCAGAGTGTAGCACAGGGGTAGCTCCTGAGCGGAGTTTCCGGTATTCCCAATAAAGGCTGATGTAATATGCCCTCCGTGAAAACCTACACAGGGCATAGTAGAATTTGGTCGCGAAAGGGGAAGAGGTGCGGGTGGGGGGTTCAAAGGTTCGGTTAAGAAGAAGGGGACGGGGGCTGAAGAGGAAAGATGGGAAAGGGAAAGATGGGGTGGGGATGGATGGGGGCCGGGGCCACTCGTTAGAGCGCAAATTTCCAACCTTTCAGTGACTACTAAGGACGGACTACTAGTAGAGCAGCAGCAATCGAATCACACGGAAACGCACTCACTTCATTATCTTCCAGAAAAGTGTCCCAAACGCTCGTCTGTCGCCGATCACTTTCCCCTTGTGCTTAGTAGGACGCAATTTGACCCAATACCATTCTGGCAGTGCGAAGGGAGAGTAAAGGCGCATGGGGACGGACGACGCATGAGTGTTAGAGGTACATGGGCACCACTGAATGAAGGCCTGATGATGGCATGGCATGCAGTGCAATGCGAACGAAACGCCACATGCGAAGCCGTGGAGGCTCAATTGCTGTCAGCAGTGAAAATTGAAGAAGGTAATACTAGGCCGCCACATTTCGGTGCACGTGAACATTCTATAGATAACAATTGCTATTAGCAGCGATTATACTGTAGGAACACAGCGGTGCTGTGCCAGTGGTATACGTGGTATACGAAAGGACGCAACGTGCCTCGTTAAAAGCGGCTGCAGACTTACGATACGTGATCCCCGGACTATGGGTTGCTGCACTGATGTGGCTGACGCCGCCGGATGGCTTTTGAGGCGCCTCAAAAGACTTTCGATACGTGATCCCCGGACCATGAGTTGCACTGCCGTGGCTTACGCGGCCGAATGATGGCGGAAAGATTGTGGCAGACGCGGCAGCGAAGCAAGCCGCACCTGATGGGCAAGGCAGCGCGGCACGAGGAAGCAGGATGATGACATCCCACATGAGGGGTGATAGGCGTGACCTCTGACAACAGTGGCAACATAATTGAACCGGGCGGCAGCGCAGTGAAAGCTGAGCACGTGGCGCCGCCGTCGCCGCCGCCGCCGCCGCCGCATCGCCACACGTTGTACATGAGGAATTATGAAATTGCACTGCAAATAAGGAGGATTTAAGTGCTTACAGATAAGGAGAGTTGTCACCGCGCGCTCCATGTTTGCCAGCGGTACTACTACTTCTACTGATTCTACTAATTCTACTGATTCTACTAATTTTACTAAGTCTACTAATTCTACTAATTCCGATTATGGAGGGGACTCTGCGGAGTCGGAGAATGGAAGTTTGGACTGAAGCGATGTGGTGGGACGAAGTGAATACTCCGTCACCCAGTCCGAGAGCGTTGGGGATGGGGAGGGGATCGATGGTGAGGGTCCACCAAGAATCTACTAAGCTACGGAGCTGCCAGGCATTCAGCTAGAAGTAAGTCACTTTCTAGGTTTCTTTCGTGGGCTGCTGCATTCTTGAACTGGTTGGGTCTGCTACCATTTGTATGGAGGAAATGACGGATCACCCTGTTTTAAAGTTTCTGATTCCTTTGGAAAGTGGCTTTGACGCCGCATTGCTTCTCCGCTCGCGTCCGATTTCTTGGGGCAGCCGATTTCGACATTTCCAATTTCCTGTGACCAGGAAAATTCTGAAGATTACCTGGTTTTAGTTTAGTGGCCAGTGGAAAAAATAAACCCCTCTCGGATGGCTGGCCATTTGGGAGGCATCAACCCTAAACATCTTGCCTCATGGTGTTTAGGGTTGATGCCTCCCAAATGGTATTCCCTCCATGAGGGGTGTATTTTTTTTGTCCCGAGCTTCTCGTAATTGACGCGAAAATTCAATCTATGATATCCCGATAAACAAACACAATATTAGTCTCTGGACTCAAAAAGGGGCAATAGCGTAAATAACTGACCAAAGGTATCGGAATTGAGCGCAAAGCAAAGCGGTGTCAAAATCACTGCCAAAAGAGATTGGAAACCCGAAACCAGGGTGGTCCGTCATTCCCTCATTTGTATGTCTGGTCTGGCCCAAATTGCGAGGCGCGCGGGTCTGCTGCACCAGCGTTGAAAACCGGTTCCTCCAACAAGGGAAGTTGGAGGAGTACGGTAATATCGAGGAGGGCTGGGCCCAAGCACCAAGGGAGAAAACTGTGGACCAGCTGGGTGGGCGAAAACACGATTTGACGAAAAGTTAACGAAATCAGAACTCTCGTTACGTCCCAGCCTAAAAAAGACCCCGTCAACCGTGTATAAAGGAGTACAGGAGAGCGAACAAATTGCACATGCCACAGTAGGAAATGTTTTTGAGACAGTTTAGCTCAAGTATATCAACACACACAAACATGCACAGCATTGCATTGCACAGGTGTAAACCAATGTGAATGTGAAACAAAACCACCTGACCCAGACTCTATAGTGCATATGACATGACATACACCACCACCACCACCACCACCAGTATTACACTACAGTACCAGTTGCTAAAAGTCTTCAACCCAAATTCCATCACAAAAGGCGGCGAGAAGTCGAGAGTCAAGCCAAGTCAAGCCAGGCAGGGCGAGTCAATCCAGCCAAGTCAGGACAAGTCACGCCCGCCAGGAATACGTCAGGTGTTGCCACTGCGGAAACGACCGCCGAGCCTCCTCCAAGGCTGCTCGCCGCCGAACCAGGACGTGAGGCTCGGATTGCCCTTGCTCCCTCCCTGCTAGTGCTGCCGCTGCTGCATGTGCTGAGGGTGAAGATGATGCATCAAAGGCAGAGGCTGCAGCAGCTGCAGATGTGGAGGACACACCGGTGCGGTCATATGCAGTGCGGTCGTATGCGGTGCCGTCGCCACGGAGCTTCCGGGGATTCTTCCATCGCCACTCGAATTGGAACGCTGTAAAGGGGGGAAGAGGGGGTGCAAGATGTGATGGTGATAGGAGATTCTCAGAGAGGTATGGGAGAAACAATGTGACTAGCCTCATGCCAAGCAGCACAAACTCCTTCCATACCCTTCTCCCTTTTCCCTTCCCCCCTGCCCCTCTCCCCTCCACTTCCCCTTTCCCCCCTACCCACTCCCATTCCTCCTTATCCTTCCCTTCTCCATCCCTCTCGCACCTTCGCTCCTGGTTCTTCTGAACCCCGACACCAGACAGACACGAGCGCCCACAGCCTGCCGGAGCACACTGCAGTGACTGCACATCCCTTCTTGAGGCGCCTGCTCCTCAGGGACCTCTATAACGTTTCCCGTGGCCTTACCCTTACCCTTGCATGCATCTTCGCTCCTGGTTCGAATCGAAACCCCGACACCACAGACAGACCCGAGCAACCACAGCCGGCGGCACAAATCCCTTTCTAAATCGCTTCTTTCAAAGGCGCCTCTAAAACGTTTTTCTCACCCACACCCCCCCCTCCTCCCCTCCCCCCTCTCCTCAACCCCGCTAATCCTCCATCTCTCGCACCTTCGCTTCTGGTTCTGAAGCCCGACACCACAGACACGAGCGCCCACGGCCTGCCAGCCCGCGTTGACTTGGCTCCCCCCACCACCTCGCCATTGTGCTGCTTCAGCCTGAGCGGGGGAAAGCAGAGGGGCGGGGGGAGAGCAGGGAAACGGGGAGGGCAGGGAAAAGGGGAGAGAAGAGGGAAGAGGGGGGGGGGGGAGAGCCAGCTTCATGCACTTCTGAGTTGACTTGCCTCCTCCCACCACCTCTCCGTTGTTGTGTGGCGGAACAGGGGGAAAGGGGGTGGGAAGAAAGAGCGAGGGAGAATGAGGGAGGGCACAAATGAGACGAGTATTTAATGGGTGTTACCTTACCATTCTTGAGGGGTCTCAACAGTCAGCGAGAGAGAGACGATTAATGTGAGGCTCCTAAGAAATAGTCCATGTTCTGTTTTTTTTTCCCAAGGTCTTCAAAACAATGTGACGTTGCTAACACACCTTCTCTCAGCGTCCATAGTGACTCCCACGTATGTCTTCTTCCCATCCGCTCACAGCAACAGGTACACACTCCACGTCCCCGCACAGGCACAGGCACAGGCACAGGCACACACATGGGGAGAAGAACGCAGAATTCAAAGCCACCAACTCACCTTCTCTCAGCGTCCATAGTGACTCCCACGTATGTCTTCTTCCCATCCGCTGACAGCAACAGGTACACACTCCACGTCCCCGCACCCTCCTCCTCCTCCTCGTCCTCCTCTGATGGCCCCCCAACCTCCCGCCCCCGCATCCCTCCCCCTTGCGCCATCCGTGCGCCCCCCACTCCCCGTACCCTCCCCCCTCCGCCGCCCCCTCCCCCTCCGCCTCCGCCCCCAGTCTGGCCGCGCATTGGTGAATTATCACCCCAACCACCCACACCCACGCCCATCCCCATGCCTATCCCCACGCCCATGCCCATGCCCATGCCTGCTCCGCCCTCCCCCTGTTCCCTCCCGTACCAATCCCCCCCCTCCCGCGCCCCTGCATGCTGGCTTTGCTGCTCTGGGGCATGCGCGGAAGGGGGAACGGCGGAGGAGAGGTGGGAGGGGTGAGCGGTATGGATGCCGTTTGTGCTAGCACCACCGCCGCTGCCGCTGCCACTGCTGCTGCTGCTGCTGCTGCTGCTGCTGCTGCTGCTGCTGCTGCTGCTGCTGCTGCTGCTGCTGCTGCTGCTGCTGCCGCTGCTGCTCCCAACATCTGCACTGAAATGACCAGATGAATGAGGGTTTAAGGAGTATGGGTCAGGGTCCTGACCAGAATTGTGCTGGAGGGGATTAGCGTGAACGGTGGGCAGGGAGAGAGAAGAAGAGGAGGAGAGAGAGGGAGCGGAGGGGCTAGAAGGCGTTGCAAGTGATTCAACGAGTAGTTGCTTGTCAAAGCCTTCCTGCCGCTGCTGCTGCTGCTGCTGCTGCTGCTGCAAATCTTCCTGCTGTTGTTCATTCTGAGAATGCTGGTGAGAGAGGGCTAATCGGGGGCTAAGCCCCTCATGTTGCTGCTGCTGCTGTTGGTGCTGCTGCTCCTGCTGCTGCTGGTGCTGCTGTCGTTCCTCTGCTTGCTGCATCTGCTGCATCATCTGCTGCTGCTGCTCCTGGTTCTCTTGCTGATTCAAAATCTGCTGCTGCGAGTGAGTCGCGACGTGGGCGATACCAGGCGAAACGAACAGTTCGCGAAACTCCAAATCGTCAATCCCATAGCGCGCCAAGTCTCCATAAGCGTCCAGCCCATTTGCGCCGCTTGCGCCGTTACTCCCCCCCGGCCCATACCCCCCGCCCCCCGTCCCCCTTCCGCTTCCGCTCCCACTCCCCCGCCCCCTCCCTTCCCCGCGCGCTAAACCGCCGCTACCGCTGCCACTCCCCCTGTTCCTGCCTGTTCGCGCAATCCCCCTCGCGCCACCAGCACTCCTAGCGCCGCCGCCGCCATTACTGCTACCGTTGCTGCTACCATTGCCCCTACTGCCGCTGCTGCCGCCGCTGCTGCCGCCGCCGCTGCTGCTGCTGCTGCTGCTGCTTCCGACTGTGTTCTGCTGCGTACCCTCTAAGCTACACTGGCAATAACCTCTCTCACGGCCTCGATTGTTTCGTGTCGACCCATGTGTTGAGCTATAAATGCTAGCATTCATGCCGCTTAAGTCTCGAGCGCCGCTAAACCCGCTAGAGCCAAGAGATTCGCGAAGGTATCGCGAGTCGCCGACGCCGTTCGCCCTGCCGGCGGAAACGGCTAGCCGCCACGCAAGCGTCTGTACTGTTCTCCTGCCGCTAATACCCGTACACCTGTAGCTAATTGAACCAGCCCGCGGTATAGTCACAAATCTCGTGGTGGTGAGCCTTCCGGAGGTAACAGTATCGGAGGCTCTGGCGGTCAGCTTCCGCGCGACACAGCTTGCGCGGAGCATCCGCGGAGTCATCACTCCGCCTGGAGGAAGCGGAAGCGGAGGCGGAGGGGAGAGCAGAACGACGACACTGGGCGGGGATGCAGGGGGACGGCGCAACGATACGGCGCAGCCGATAGAGCCACGGAAGGCGGAGGCAGCTGCGGGGAGAGGCATGGCGGGTGACGCGCAAGCTACAGCGGCGCTTCGGCGCTTGCGCGCACGGGCAGGGCTTGTGAGCTTGCGCAAGGTATAGCGACCGGAATAGGAGATAACGGCCTGGATCGTAGACGAAAATGGTAAAACCGTTCAGACGATCAGCAGGCAAGCACGCCTGCACTGGAGCAGCGTGCCCAAACTGCGATTCGTCGACAAATGCGAGCGCTTCTGTTGATCTTAGTTGGTTGTGCTCGGTTGTCGGGGAGAATACTGCGGTCCGGCGCGGTTGTTAACGAGAGTAGGGGTGATGGGAGATTAAAGACTTGGATCGAGATGTATCGTGTGGGAAGATCTCGAGCGGTTCGGGTCGGAGTAGGACGCGAGAATGAGCGTGGCGAAGTTGGGCGAAACGAAAACGAGTTCGCGAAGACATGCTCGTTGTCGCTTCTTCGCGACTGGAGCTACCCTGAGGACATGTAAACCATCATTGCTGGAAAGCTGAAAAGCTAGCTCATCATGATCAGAAATGGCAGACGAAGATGAAGATACAGCAGCGGGAGACACGTCGCGAAAGCAGACTCCCGCAAAAACAGCTACTTACAGGCAGACGACCGAAATACCGTAACCAGACAAGCGACGCGTGAGACCCTTGGTACTAGTGCATGCCACAGCCTCGTCTGACATATCTTATCCTGTTCGGGAAGACGCCATGGCTGGATAGTTTCTTACCAAGCAGTCTAGTAGACCCCCATGATTTCTGGCTGGCGCATTGGTTGAGGGCGCGCGGGTTGGGGAACGGTCAGGGGCTTTTGGTTCGGGCGGATTCGGGTAAGCTTTTCGGGTTGAGACCGTGCACAGAGTTTGAGTTTCAATCCCGAACTATGGTCATCTGGTTAGTTCATACCAATTCTAAGAAGGGAGCTTGAAGCTGACCCTTGCACTGTAATTATCTCATATCTGACCTGTACTACCCTTTTAAACAGCGTCAGGCTACAAACCTTAGCACAATGGCTTTCAAGCCAAAACCTGTTAATTCTAAGTGCGTGCCACTTTGAACGGGCCCGAGGGAGGTCAGTTCGAGTTCCCCGCGCTTTTGCGCTGGCCAATTTGCTCCGCGTTTCCGAAGCAGGGCAGGCACCATTGACCTCCCCTTTCCTTGCAAGTGCGGGAAGAGAGCGATCATGTGGTAACCAGAACCGCGAAACCAAGTGGAAACCCGAAATTTATCACCAAGAGTGCCTTTGGCGTAAAACCTCAGTAGCCTTCTATTAACTGTAGCGCTCCCAGCCCTTTATCAGGGATAGTGTTTGCCGTGTTCATCTGACTGACCTGTCTCTTCCTCGCTTCTCTAACCTATATGCAAGCTAGCTACAAAACATAAGGCTGCCATAGATTTCCAAGTCAGTCATAAAACACTAGGCAGCCATAGATCTTAAGATTTAATCGACCGATCGAGTTAAGATTTAATCTGCTCCGTCTTTAATAGCAGCCATGGCTGGCGTGGATGTCGATATGCCTCTTGCGACAGGCGGCGAGGGTTCCAGCTCCGGCGCCAAGAAAGCCAGGCGGTTTGAAATCAAGAAGTGGAACGCGGTCGCGCTCTGGGCCTGGGGTGCGTATCGGCTGGTGTTGAATTTTGAACTGGATTGTCCGTTAGTCTGGTCGTTGTATGTATGAGCGTATCGACCTTTCGAGTCGACTCGTGCTTTGAGGGATTCTCGAGTCAATTTACAAGTCGCTTCGCGGGTACCAGCTTATTTTTTAGGCGCCTCCAAATTTATTCATTTTCTGGATCCGCGATCTAATCTGGTTGTCTTAATCAGCCAAGTGCTCCCGTTTTACAACCCCGTGTCGTTTCCCCCTCGATCTTTCATGTGGATGGCCATACGGCGTCTATTGGCTCACATGGCGTGTGTATGCCTGTCGCGCGAAACTCGTTCCTGTGCTTCTTTCCCACGTTAGGGTTAGGCGCTACTTATGCCTGTTTACCTTCGTCCTTGTTTCCGTCTGTGTCTAACTTCCGTATTCACCTGTGATTGCATCCGCCTGTGCTTATACCTGCAGACATCGTGGTTGATAACTGTGCCATCTGCCGTAATCACATTATGGACAAGTGTGAGTGCAGCGCCGCGTTATAGCCTGCTTCTAACTGGCTTCATGTTCCTCTTTTCTATGTCGCATTCTTCACCATCTGACTCAATACGGGTGATATTTTGTTTTCCTTTCTTCACCTTCTTTTTCTGCAAGTCCGTTCAGATCTTGGTTTGTCCTTACCCTTTTGATTCTTATTTTTTCATCCCCCCCGTTCTCATCATCATTCCCTCGCCAACACTCTTTTTTCATGTACTTGACGTTTCTTCTCCCCCCCTTCCCCCAATCTTCCCCATTTCTCCCTCGTTTCCACCTTCTCCGCGCGGTTCACGGTGCAGGCATTGAGTGTCAGGCCAATCAAGCGAGCGCTACTAGTGACGAGTGCACTGTGGCATGGGGTGAGACTTCCTCTCTGTCTCCCTGCTTTTGCTCAGTAAATATATACATATTTATCTGTTGCTCGCCCATTTTACATGAGTGCCTGGTGGTTTGAGTCGTCTTGTCGCATTTTCTTTCTCACGTATTACATACCTTCTTTTCACCCTCCTCTCCTTCCCGCCACTTCCTTTCCACTTCCTCTCACACTTTCTTCCCCTGTCTATTCTCAACATACTCAGTCCCCCCCTCTCATTATTGTTTTTCCCCTTCGTACATCTCTTTCCTCCCACTCTGTCCCTCCCCCTCTCCTCTCAGGTGTGTGCAACCATGCATTCCATTTCCACTGCATTAGTAGGTGGCTCAAGACACGCCAAGTCTGCCCTCTAGGTCAGTACGCTCTTCTATGGTCGTAACCCTAAACTGCCTTGCCTCTTCAGTACTTGCCATAAATGACTTCGCTACTAAAAACTGAGTACCACATTTGTTTCCCCTTGTTGTTTTTAATAATTTGGTGAAACGAGTGTGGCAAGGCCGGTTGACTAGTGACAAAACCAGTGCCGTTTGTATCAGGAGATTGTGGAATTTGCCTTGAGGAACTTTCTCACTGCACCCCTTCCTCCCCTGAACATTTTTTCTCCACTTCCCGTTCGGCTTTTTTTCTTGCAGACAATAGTGAGTGGGAGTTTCAGAAGTATGGCCGCTGACCCCCCTTGCTGTACTGGTGTGTTTCGTGGCGTGACATGGCTCAGCCTCCCTTGCAACTTGTTGTGCATTGTGTGCTCTCACCCACACAAGGAGGGTACACATATACCCAGTTCTGCTCAATGTTACATGATTCACCATGTTGCCAAGTTGCTGATGTTACTCGGCACATGGGGGTGCTTTTTCTGATGAATGCATTGCTTGTGTTACAAGCTTTAGATTACCTAGTTCTGTACTTACATAAATGTATATTGTATCTTGAGGGGTCATTCATTGCAGGGTTGCATCTTGCAATAGATCAGTGATCAAGGTTGAAAGGTGTACCTCATCACAAAAAGGCAGCAGTTGATACTAGTGCCCTACCGGTACCGCATGTCTAGCTTATCCATAACAGGTGAATGGACCCACTGTTTCAAACCAGGAGCCACACCGAGGGGAGTCTACGATCTACGGTAGATTAGTCTAGCCTTGAATCATTTATTGTTGTCATACTACATGCTAGCCCTCCCCAGCTTTTGCAGCCAGGGATGTCAGACAGAATATTAGTACATTCAACTTCACAACTGCTCCAGCTGTAAGTGCAACATGGCTGTTTCTTCCACTCCAACACACCCATAAGCAGGCAAACCCATCGTGCTCGTCTGATGCCCGTCATGTCATGTCATGTCCTTCCAGTCAGCTATGGGCACAAGTGTGCCCCATGATGTTCCCACGTGCAGCTTCACTGACAGCGGCACTGCTCGGATAAAGCATGACAAATGCACGCACCGCATACAGGGAGAGGAAAAGAACGGTCAGAGAGCGAAGTCAGGTGAAAGAAAGTCATTGCTGCTGCAGGTTCCAATGCAAGGACGAGGAGCTCTGAAACTTTGCTCAGCCACTGCATCTTACAGTATGCAATACCTGCAAGAGACGATTTTTGCAATACCTGCAAGAGCCATGGCATTCTCCATGCATGTCTGTAGCAGCTTCCTTGCAGGCTGCAGGTAGGGTCGTTCCACCTCAAGCACCAACTCATCATGGATCTGACACACATGCACACACACAACCACCACAACCAGTAACAAACAAGTCAGGCTTGCGGATTACTAGTCCCATAACGAGCCAAAGCAACGAGTCACATGCTCTGCTGTGAAAGGTTAATAGGAAAAGGGAAGAGGGATGTGGGAGACATGGTGCGGACATGAGGCAAAGCGTGGAAAAAAACGGCTCATTGCGGTAGAGAAAGTTACCTGCAAAACCAATCTGCAGTGGCCTGCAAGGGAGGATGCCCCGGTAACAGCAGGAGGGAGAACAGAGGGGCACTGAACATGCGAGAACTGCTGCTGAGGAGTGAGAATCGAGGAAGATAAATGTGGAAGCACCGCCAATGTTGGCCCGCTGGTGGATGTTTGGTGACCCAGAGGGACTGAGGGTGTTACTGATGAAACATGTGCTGTTGTCACTGCTGCAGTGGATGTTGCTTGTGGAGCTGCAGGATCAGCTGCTGGTGATGCTGTCACTGATGGTGGTGCTGATGCTGGCGGCTGGGTGTGAGCAGGTGGGGCTATAGCTGCCTGAAGACGGACCATGGCCAGTTTAATGAGGTCTGCTGCTGATCCCTGGAGGGAAGAAGGAATCAGAGAGTCAGATAGGAGAATATGAGGTAGTGGAGGGGGCTTTAGACAAGTACGTAAAGGGAAGTGAAAAGAGCCTTGGCAGGAGACAAAAAGGGAAACGACAGCGCGCGTGACATAGCAAGCTCGTGCGGAGAGTGATGAGAGAATGTGCGTGTGGCAAGGAAGCACCTGAAAGGCAATACCCGTTTCCCCACCTGGCAGATGGAGTTGACAGCCTGGCGTTGTGCCTTGGCCTTATCTGCACTGCTCCTGTTGTTGATATTCTCCAGGAAACGCCGTCGCCCACATAGAGTCTGAATATACCTGCAACACCAATGGAACGTTATAGTGCGAGTTAACGAACTACGTAATTTAACAAGCGGTACGAGCAGACCCAAGCAACAAATCCAGCACAAATCCCCGCTCCTGAAATTCACAACATATGCACAATTCCCACATACGTACCCTTTGCTCCTGCATTCCTTCACAGCCCTGTCAAGCCACCTATCCACCTCTGTGAACGACTGCAAGAACCGCTTCCTGTATTTGCTAGCCTCTTCCACGCTGCACCCAAGCTGCTGACCCAGAGCACTGTTCCCCATGCCATACAGCAGCCCGTAGCACAGGCGCTTGGTTCGGTCCCGCTCCGCACTGGTGACTTGAGGCTCGGGAGTGCTGGACCAGCAGGCAGCCATGGTGCGGAAGAGGTCTCCCGAGGGGCTGGAGAGGAGCGAGATGAGGGCTGGGTCCTTGGAGAAATGAGCCATAAGGCGGACCTCAATCTGAGAATAATCTGCCACGAGCAGGAGCCGAGACGGCTGTATGGGAAATGGAGGGTAGATGGGAGAATTTAGGCAATAATAAGGTAATGTCAGATGCGTGAGTCTATGGCATCTGAGTTAGAATGTGGAAGGGAAATGAGAACACGGAAATGAGTGCGGCTTGTGTGCATGGGTCGATGCTTGTGCCAAACAAAGGGGACTAGACAGAAGATACGACCACCCAAAAGACAGCGGAGGATGGGGGGCTCAAAGAACAAAGGAGGAATGATGAAGGCAGTTGGAAATCGCAGGGAGGTTTAAGCACCTGTGATGGGACGACCACTGCACGTGGGTTGATCTCCAAACGCACTTGCCGCTTGGCCCCACTGCTGCTGCCACCCTCCACCAGCCCCACCACGACCGCCGCACACCAGCTCATCTCACTCCCCTCCTTCCCCACAGTCTCCTCCTCCTCAGCTTGCTTCGCGCCCTTGTTTACAGCATCCTGCCCACTCCCATTTGTGTCAGCTAGTGCCGACTTGAGAGAGCCAGGAAGAAGATCCTCATCCAGGATGAAGCTTGTCGGCTTCTCCATGCACTACAAGATGGCCAGTCAGACAATCAGAAACAGGGTTTAAGGTGGGAAAAAATAGGCAGGGTCGATGGGCAAGGGGGGAGGAAAAAGGAGGGGGGGGGGGGGTACTTGGACTGGAAGTTGGAGGGAAGGGGAAGGGTGAGTCAAGGGAACCAAGTTGGCAGATGCAAGGAGGAAAAAATCATCTTGGGAAGGATCAAGAGCGGCAGCCATCCCACCTGCAGGTTTGGTTCTTCCATGGAAAGGCGTCCTGTTGCTGTTGACGTCTGCAGCCACCGACCATGCACTGTGTAGCATGTCCGCCCCTTGCCTTGCTTCCCTCCCATCTCCACATCACCAGCTCCTCCCTCGGTTTCTGCCCTGCTGCTCTGGTCCGCTCCACAAGCCTGCATTTCCAAGTCGTTGAGAAATTCCCTTGGCAAACCATGCTGGTCTTTCACTCGGTGCAACAGGGTGTTGATGGTGGCACAGAGCTTGGCTATGCAGCGGTAGTCTTGAATCACTGCTGCTATTGGGTGCTTCGGTCTGTAACGCACATGACAGGAAGGGGTGGAGAGAGGTACGGAAGTGGGACGGACGAAATTTAAAGCTGCTTCAAATATGATGAGCACTGAAGAAATGAGCGACAGAATTGGGGAGTGGGGGGCAAGTGGGGCCAAGCACTTGCGGCCAAGCAAGGAGGCTCGAAGAGGGAACAGAAGGGGAACATACTTTAGGAACTTACTTTAGGAACTCCAGAGCTGCCTTGTCGGTTGGTCCTGGCTGTGACTTGGGGCCTTTAGCAACAAAGTTTGGGGGGACTGGAAGTGCGAGGGTCTTGAAGAGTATAATGGCGAGCTCGCTGGGGTTGGAGAGCATGAAGGGGCGCCCCGCCATCTCGTGTGCTGCATCCTCCAGAGCGGTCACCTTGGCCCGCAGGACTCTCCTCAGGAGCATGCACTGACGCATGTCCACTCCCACGCCCAGGAGCTCCATAGACGCAACCACAGGAACCTGCATCCCGGTGGTAGGGAACGAACATACGGGCCCAAGACAGGGGACAGAGGCGGGGATGAGCAGGGGGACGAGCTGGGAGGGAGGCGACCGAAACAGTGGACAAAAAACAAGGGTTTTTTAGGGGAACTGTGCCAAGAGTTGCAGCACTGCGCACTGGGAGAAGAGTGGGACATGCTGGATTTGTAAGCGGCAGGAGCAAGACAATGAGACATAAGACAGGGCGTACCAGTGGCATCTCGTTTTGCATGAGAGGCTCCTCCAAGCACTGGGAGAAGAGGCGCTTCCACAGCACATCACTGAGCTCCCGCACTTGTACTGCTCGCCTGCAGCAGCCATCCCGTGCTGCCCGCCCCAGCTGCGCCTGCCACCTGCCTGCTCGCTGTGCCCTGGCTGCTGCTTCTGCAGGGAGTGTGCTGGCCACTGCCTGTGTATGCATGGATGGGTAGGCAACAGCAAACAGCAGCATCGAATGGGGAGTTTGGTGGGCTTGGATTAATGAGGTGAAGGGCGAAAGCTGGAAATTGAGCATCTGAATGGCATGCGTTTGGAAGGAGGAAAAGGGGGAATTGCAAAGCATGCCGTGTTGATAAGAAAAGAAGATTGGAACACAAAGGAGGAGGAGACATGGAACTGAAACATTGGGGTGTCATCGGACAGACCTCTTCAATGGTCTTCTCCTTATTGCTCTCGCCGTCCGGATCAAGAGCCCATGCCAGAAGACGCATATCAAGAATCGGGCCTGCAACATATGCTGCTGGGAGCGGCTGCAGTACCCATCCTTGCCTCACTTCTCCCTGCACTATCCCGCCCCCAGCCCCTGCTCCTCGTGCTGCTTTCGACTGTAACCAGCTCTTCCCTCCTTGCTGCTGCATCTGATCCAGCCGAAGCTGCCCGTCTCCCCAGCTGCCGTACAACCCCCCTTGCTTCTGCACCCCCGAATCATCCGCCAGCTCTTTCACCCCACACCCCCCCCCCACTCCTTGGCCCAAAGCCGTCAACTGGAGGGGTAGGAGCTCCGGCGGGCAACGCACGGCTGGGCATGAGAGCACCATCAGGGCTACCTTCGCATCCCAGAAGACCTTCTTCTGGCCCTGCTGTGCCAGCATCTGCCGAACCTTGTTCCACCGATCAACCACTGAACGCCACCATACCACCCTGTCCTCCTCCTCCTCAGCTCCAGCATCCCCTACCTCCTTTCCTTGTCTCACAAGCTCTTCAGGTTCTACTCTCGTCCCTCTGGAGTCCCTTCTTTGCTGATTAACCCTGGGAAGAACCACCAGCGCCATGTAGAAAACTGGGGAGCCTTTCCAGCACACTGAAACCCCTTCTAGCTCCACTGGCCTCTGTCCGTATCCATTTTTGTAATCCCCAGCTGTATGCAGGTCTATACAGTACTCGCTCTGCTCCTCCCACTGGCGTATGAACTGGGATACGCCACCGGGAAGCGAGTGAACGTCCACAGGACCATCTCTGGGCATGCAAGCGCCAGTGGACGGAGCATGATGCTGAGCGTGGGAGGTGTTTTGAGGATGACTACTCTGGAGAGGATGCGAGGAAGGTTGATGGTTCCATTGATGCTGCTGCTGCTGCTGCTGCTGCTGCTGCAGCTGCTGTTGTTGCTGCTGCACATGATAATGATGATGTTGGTGGGAAGTAGGTTGAGGATGGGTTAATGCAACATTATTTGAGGATGGGCCTGTAGTTTGGCCGTAAGAGCTACGGTTACAAGGCACCAATGCTCCAGCGCCAAAATCTTCAGCTCTTGCAGAAGAATCCCCAGAGAACAATCGGGCATGCACTTGTGCGGCCTCAGAAGCAGGCAATGGTGGTGGTGCTGCCTCTCGTGTTACACCAGCAGGCGGCACACAGCTCACCACTGCAGCTGCAGTGGCACCAGTCAGTTCGGTACTGGCAGCAGCTACACTTATTCCTGTGGCATTGGTCATGCCAGGGACCTCCCGATGACCAGCTAAGGCGCAGGCCACAGCATTGTCCACTGTGCGAACGAGCTGCGTTGCTGTCAGGCTTGTCCCCCATGGGTCCGCTCCTGGTGAAAAAACGTGCCCCGACTTGGCTGCAACTCCACTAGCAGCGCCAGCAGAAGCAGCAGCAGGCGTACCAGGTAAACCGCCAACACTGGTACCAGCACCAGCACCAGAAGCAGCAGCAGAAGCAGCAGCAGGAGGAGGAGGAGCAGGAGCAGCAGCAGCAGCAGCAGCAGCAGCAGCAGCAGCAGCAGCAGCAGCAGCAGCAGCAGCAGCAGCAGCAGCAGCAGCAGCAGCAGCAGCAGCAGCAGCAGCAGCAGCAGCAGCAGCAGCAGCAGCAGGAACAGCCGGAACAGCTGGAGCAGCCGGAGCATCCGCCTCAACAGACTGAACTTGATCCCTGTCTTCAGCAGCTTCTTCTTGTGTGAGCACATCCACAGCGAATTCAATGTCATCCATGGTCACATCTGGCGACTCCTCCATACCTGCTGCTGGATCGTTATCATCACCACTGTTCACAGGAACAGCAGCCCCACCAGCAACAGCACCACCACCACCACCACCATCACCACCACCACCACCACCACCACCACCACCACCACCACCACCACCACCACCACCACCACCCACTGCCTCTTGTCCACCCCTGCTTTGCAGTGCATCTGCTGTTTGTGCTGTTTCAGGTGCTGCACCTGCTGGTGCGGATGAATCATCCAGAGAAACGAAAGTGTGCAGAGCCTTATCCAGTCCCGCTGGGATCTTCATCCCCAGTGATCGCATCTTCGTAAACATCTGTATCCGCTCCTCCTCTGCCTTCTCCAACAGCACCTTTCGAGCGCCTGGAAATGAAACAAAGGGTATGTGTGTGTGTCAAAAAACTCCTCAAGTGTAGAAGACAAAAGGATGAGCTGAAGAAGAAAAAGGCTAGAAGGATGAGTGATGCAAACTCACCCCTGCGAATCTTCCCAGCAATCATTGCTTGAGCACGTGCTGTTGCAGCCTTGCCTGTGGAGATGTCAAGAGATGGAACGACCGCCACAGAAGTAAGAATGCCATTCACGCATGCTTTTTGAGAAAATTGAACGCAGAACGGTGCAGAAAGAAAGAAGGCGTTAACTGTTCGAATCGAGCACACATACCTCCCCATGAGAAATCAGAGAGAGCTTTTGCGATCTCAGCAGCAGAGGCCTCGGCCACAGCCTCTGTGGTCCGCAGACCAGCCTTGTACAGGGCACGTGCACGTGCAGCCTGATGGGGGTGTCAGCAGAGAACACAGAGGAGGACAAACAAACAGCAGCCAGCCAGAAGTATGTCCCCATTCGATTGACGGGAAGGATAAACGAGAAACACACAAGAAAAGGACAATGGTGCAGCAGGACGTAAAAATGCGAATGGAACTGCTTACAGAGCAATGAACTCGCTAACATACGTGTTTGAATGAACTCACCTTAACAAAGGGAATTTCTGTGAGCTCCACAATCTCTGAGCGCACACCAAAGTACACGCGATGCTGGAAGTTGGAGAGCAAAGCTTGCATGTCCGCATACTTCAGGCGCTCACAGAATGATGTGACCATGGAGGCAAAGCGGCCCGCGTTATCCTGCAGCTGCTGAACCTGCCCTCTGTTCACACCAAACCTGTCACACACTTCTCCAATAGGCGCCTCCTGCAAGGTAACCGGCAAAGGATAGGAGTTGGACATAATAAGGCCCTGCAATTGTGAGCCTTGCAAGCACAAGGCTTCATCTAGTTACAGCAGGTTTGCCTTTTCTTCATGACTAGAATCTGCTTCAAAGCAATCCCGATTTGGATTGACTTTGCCTGCTCACCTGTACAATCTGGGACAACACAAGGGCTGAGAAGAACCGCCTGCAGACGCGCTCGGTTTCCGAAACACTATTGATTGGCACACTGCCCTTTGGCGAGTCTGCTACTTCATTCCTTCCCTTGCGACTGCAGCGCCCCATGTAGGTGCGGGCACTGCCATGCGCCTTGCTGGCAAGAAATGCCTCTGTCACCCCCACGTTTTTGGCAACCCTTTGGTCGATCTCTGAGAGCCGAAGAAACTCCTGGTAGAAGACCTTCCAGTCAGGGTCAATGATCGTGGCAATTGGGGTCACCTGCGAGAGAAGAGAGAACAATGAAAAGCAGCAGAAGGCAGAGGAAACAGAGCACCAATGCTGGAAATGAAGAGGCAATCGAACAGAAGATACCCCACTTTGAAGGAAGACAGAAATGGCGTCATCCAGGTCAGAACCGCGGACAGACCTGGTAACAGTGGTGCAGGTCAGTGGCAAGAAGGCATCCCCAGCATCGAGTACGGTCCAAGTCCTTGAAGACCAGCTGAGACTCTTCAGGAGTCATAGCGCTGCAAAAGGCTGCCTGGCCCAGTGGGGTAGGTGACCAGGTCTGTGTTTCATAATTCCATTCGATCATAGATGAGGATCGGAGCTGGTTCAAGGATGCCTTAGCAGAGGCACTGACCTGCGATGCAGGTGAAGGGGTTAGTGTGTGGAGACCGGTAGGTGTGGGTGGGAACCAGGGGCAGGCAGGAAGACATTCAAGAACAGGGAGGGAACAGAAAAACAGAGGATAGTTGTGTATGCGTGCAATAACAGGGAAGGATAGAGGCAAGTGGTATTGTTGCTTTCGAATGGAGGCCAGTGAAATTCCAATGTAACATCCTTGACCATGTTTCCACGCTCTGGTAGTGGCAGCTCTTTGCTCATGAACAGACAGGTACTTGCCTGCTCCATCCATGCAAGCCTCTTAGAAGCATTGGTCTGCCAAACAAAGTACTAGGTGAGAGAAAATCCGGACAAATCATGGCTAATGCAAGCAACAGAAATGGGATCAAGAAGTGAGGTTGTAAGTTCAAAAGGTAAAGGAGGCGAAGGTACCACAGGAGAAGAGGTTGAAGAGCCAAAGGAAGGCACAGTCGTGAACAAAGGGAAGGGACAGGGGAGATGGAAGACGGAAAGGCTTTGAGGGAGAAATGAGGCTTACCTCCTCAAACGACTTCAGAGTGCTGAGAAGCGTGCAGGAGACATATCGGCCAACGTCCACGCTTGTCTGCACGATGCCTGCTGCCACAACCTCCAGCAGTGCACGTGACATGCACTTGTAAGCCTCTGACAGACATGAAGCCAGGGGCTGGCAACCCTGCTGAATCATCTCCTTCACCCACGATACCTCCTTTGGATGGCAAATGAGGACCTGAAAACGATCAAGTGGACAACATAAAGTTACATACAAAACAGGGTGTTGAGAGAGAGGAGATACGAGGGAAGCTTCAGCACAACAGTGTCATGGCTCATATGTTTTAGCAAAGCGGATATAGACTTTGCTCGAAATGAATTTCAATCAAAACAGGTGAATGGAAAGAAAACACCAAGGGGGGTCGTCGAGTAAGAAGTTGGGGTGTAGAGGAAACGCAGGTCACTGCACCTAGTGGCACTTACACTTTCTCCTTTTTCATCAATCCCTGCTCTCCCAGCTCGGCCCGTCATTTGGCGATAGTGTGTGGCGTCCAGGTGATCCATACCCATCTTTGGCTCCCTCAGTATCATACGGCGTGCTGGCAGGTTAACACCTGCTGCTAGTGTAGACGTGGCAGTGAGCACTCTCACAATGCCACGACGATAGCTGTGCTCAATGATTTCCCTCTCCTCCGTCTGCAAAGCATGACATGGATTGATAGAGGACAGAAACAGAATGAACGGAGGGAGCAAGGGAGGGAGGGAGGTAGGAGGAGTGTGGAAATCATGACCTGTTTGTAGACGAATAAAAAGCTCGTAGAACACTGCTGGGCCAGGGACACTCTTTCTAAATGTGAAAAGAGCACATGCTAAGGTTCCTGCCTCGAAGATCTAAAACTGTCGGGACCTCAACAATTTCCAAGTCCTAAAAGAAGAGGCTCACCGTCAGGCCAGCATGGTGATAAGCCACGCCGGCAGGGATGGACTGAGCAAGAACCGGGTCAAGACCAGAGGGAATGCGCTTCAGGGCCTCCAGAACATCCTCTGGAGTGGAAATCGTGTCGCCTGGTTCAGATCCGCGGTTAACAGGTCTGAAAGGAGGAAGGAGCTTAGCAACATGGAGTGCTGTCTTTTGGCAGTGGGAACGACCTGAGCAGAAGATCAACACCGAGTGACCTTCACTCAGAACCTGGATAGAAAGAAGGAGTTGAAAAAGGAGATTGGAACATATGGTAAGGTATGTGGAAAGAATCACAGGCACGAACGTTCAGAAGCTTCAAGAAACAATTCTCATAATCACAGGAACGCTAAGGAGATTGAACAAGTAGATATGTAACGACTCACCTCATTACACAGAAAAACTAGGTTATCTTTGTCATCTGGGTTCGGCGGCACGGTGCGGCAGGGGTTCAAAAAGGTGTCATAGATCGTGTTCCCAACTTTGATAAACTCTTGCAGGGGAACTGGCCGGAAGTCAGTCTCATAGAGCACAGCCTGGAACCATAGCACACACAAGTGCATGATTAAGCCTTAGTATATGCATCAGATAGAAAGTTCATGGGAATGTAGAAGACAAGCATTACGAGAGTACGACCACAACAGGGAAGATAGCAGTGAGAATGGCACTTACGTTCAACCACTTTGCAATGGCAAAAGTGTTTCGCATTGTTGCACTCATCCCCACGATCTGCAATCCTTCCCCCTCCGTCTTCCCACTGCTTCCCCAGCCAGCTCCTGTAGAGGGGCTTCCTCGCCCCGCATCCTTCCCCGCACCTGCATCTTTGACCTGTCTTGAAGCACCAGCAGCATCAGCTGCAAGAGGCTTGGTCTCTGTCCCTTTGGCAGCATCAGGAGGGGAGCTCTTGCCAGCAGATGAAGAGCCCAGGCCTGCAGCATACCGCAGCTTTGTCAGGAGCAGCTCAAGCAGGTAGCCTCTTGCAGGATCTCCAACCTGGAAATAATTCGGAATGGCAGATGCATTTCTGAGTTAGCTTGTAAATCGGCTGACACATGTACGCATGCAAAACTGCATGTTGAAGCAGTGCACCAAGCCAACAAGCAAACCCTAACAAGACGAGAGCAATGGCTTTACCATATGAAGCTCGTCGACCACCACCATTGCCACCTCTCCCAATCGCCCTTCCTCCAGCAGACGGTTCACAAGAGCGTTTGCCTTCTCAATAGTGCACACAGCCAGATTGGTATCCAGAGGGAGCGTTGATCCTCCCTGTGCACCAAAGAAATTGCGCACCCGATAGCCCAAAGGTTCCAACACCGCCTCCATATGTTCTGCCTGCCGAAAGTAGCAAATAATTCGCACATAAGTCTAAACTTTTTTCTGAGGATGAAATACTACTCTTAGAGACAAAGAGTCATGACTTATCTTTTCCCCGAATACCTTTTCAGCACATATGGAGACATATGGCAACACCAGCAATGCCTTCCTTCCAGTTGCAATTAGCCTTCTCACCAGCAGCACCTCTGCAACAAGACTCTTCCCAGCACTGCAAGTCGAGGAGTAAGGAAATTAGTACACAAGCATACAAAATGAGACAAATCAACTGTGGAAACAACAGCTTGTCGATGCGCTGTAGACCAGATTCTGCCCATGAAGCACACGTTCTTTTGACAAGCACTCCACCTGAAAAACAATTATAAAACTGGTTAATCACAGTGAAACCATCACAGCTGAAAGTCGGCTGATCTTATGATCATACCTGCCACGGATACATCTTGGTAACTCCTTTGCGAGCATATGCTTTGCATGCTGGCAAAGGGAGCCATGCCGAGAGTTGCAAGTCAGCCGTAGCCGCAGACGAACCGGGGGAGCCAGATCCCTTGAGCGGAACCTTCTCTACTGGCTGCACCATCAATGCTTTCCCTTTATCTTCTTGTGGGGCAATATCAGGCTCCAGTTTCTTCGCCACTTTGATGCTCTTTTCTCCTTCTGAACGAGGCGCGGCTGCACCCTTAGGCAGAGGACGGGGAGGCTTTTCCGCACTGAAGTCCAGGTACCGAACTGGAAGAGGATCCAGGGATCCCGGAGACAGAGGCCTTGATGCTGGTGGTATGGCTTCCGTTCGTTGGCGGAACCTTGGGCTCCCAAAACCACCCAAGACTCCCCTTGTTCTCGTTCCGCAGCTTGCACTGCCCTTGTCATTCGCTACAGGTTCGTCCCTTCCAACACATCCTTCTCTCGGAACATCTAAACCAGAAACAGCAGCAGCAATAGAAGGAGCCATTCCTGGACCTTCCTTAACATCATTGATTCCTGCTTTGGCTTCCACCATTGCAAATGCTTTTTCCCAAAACGAATCCCCCGGGGAGTGGTTCTTAATGCTCCATGATCGGCTTCCTGAAGCTGTGCTGCCAGCCTTGCCAGCATTTCCATTAGCAATCCCTGCGCTTGGCTCGCCTTTTGGAGTAACATAACGCTGATCTTGTGCACCCCTGCTTTCACTGACATCAACTTGACAGTTTTGTTCAGAAGCAGGCTTGGTGAATGTACCGCCTGTTGGAACGTCAGCTTCGGTCTTAACAATAGCTGCACCATCTTGGGAAGAAATAAACGCCTCCCTTGTCGTCTCATTATGTCCCTGCACGGGAAGACTTGTGTTAAAGTTCCTGATAGGTACAATTGCATCTGGTGGGGTTACCTCTTCCGGTGCAGTCCCACATGCCCTGTTCATTGAGAGAACCTCTGGCGATGAGCTCTCCTTCCTGATAAGCCGTGAATAATCATGCTGTACAGGGACTGTCTCAGTGGTCCCATTGCTGCTAACTTCAGCTCCGCCTTCAAGCGTACAAGCATCCGCTCGAAAATCTTCTTGAAGATTATTGCCTTGAGGATCTCGAATGCCAACTGCAGCAGTTCGATCTGCAATGACGGGGATTGTCAATTACGTTATCATTTGATGCTGTACAATATTTATACTTCCATATTTTAAAAATTTACAGCCCACACCTGGTCCGCTGGCTCGAACGTCAAGAGCTACTGAGGATATAGCTCCAGCAGTTGCATGTGAAGGCCTGCACTCAAAAGGGAGGTTAGCAAAACGGACGATCCTACTTCCTTCTCACATAATCGAGCACATCAACTCAATCACTTGAAGAGCACAACCATGCATATTTCGAGTTTGTCCATCTTGGTGTAGACCGTACCTGTAAAATGTATCTGCAATGTCAGTAGGGATTCTATTCGAATTTGCAGGAGAAGTCGGAGCTCCTTCATTACCTGGCAAGGAAAAAATATATAGATGAATGAGCTGACAAAGCAATGAAAACGAAACAAAACAAAAAGACACCCATCAAACCCCATACAGACCAGACGGTAATCGTTCAGCCTGAACCTGATAAAACCCCTGTTTGTCAGCCAGACAGCTTGCCTTCTCCTGTCTCCTAGGTTTCTTGACTGGGAATGCCTGATAGTTGAAGAATACGCGGACATAAAAAAAAGTTTTAGACAATAGAACACGGAACACCTCCCCTGAGTACATGAAGAAGACAGAAGTAGGTGTCAAATTATCAGCAATGCGTCGAAACTACCACAAATGGAAACTGGCTGAGTCCATGAGTGCAAATTCAGCTCGCGATCTTGAAAGCGCGTGTCGTGAATGACTATGGTTGCGAAAACGAAACCAACCTCTTGCAGGGATGATTGTCGCTTCTGCTTGAGACTAGAGACACGTCTGGTTGCTCCATGGCCTGCTCGGGAAAGCTGTAAACGCTCAAGGACCAGGATAGCGTCCGTCGAAAGCGAGCATTTGAAGACTAGAATCCTTATTGGTCAGAAATCTTGCGTAACAAGGAACGGACGAACAACGAACAGCCTGACGAAACGAACCGCTTTTGGCGCAAAGCAGAGCTGTTCAAAGGTGCTGGCTAGGTCACTCGTTCCATCAGCAGTAGCAGGAAGCATTCAGCACCATTCCATGACATATGGATAATACTGTAGTATGGTCATGGAGGAAATGGATGGAATCATGGACACCACGGATTGGATTGAGGTGTAACTTGGCTATTTTGCAGAATCGCCGCCGTCCGATGGGTGTCATGTCATGAGCAATGTCGCGAAGGGGAAGTTCCAAACTTTCCCGTAATCCAAGCCTGCATAGTGGGGAGAGGTTGGGCTGCAAAGCTAACCAAACCAGTATTGTACCAGACCGCGAGCCTGAACAAACAAGCCTAACTGTTGGCGGGAGCTTATTTGATTGGCCGAAAAGTGTCAGGCCATATACAGCTATTTCATATCACAACTTTGATTTCATGAAAAACGCAAATGAAATTTCCAGTATGTAGGCACTAATGCTACGATCGTATTGTTACGAATAGTAATTAATGAAACATTACTGTGCACTCCTGACAGCAGCAATCTAAGTATGCAGTACCGAGACTGAAGACGAAAGGGCGGAAGTAACGCGAAGGGTCAGACAGTTACGAGCATTTGGACCGTCAAGGCAGACAGCATTGTTGGAAACAAGTGATTTATAGCGCCTCTGTCGCATCGAAGCTGAGACAACAAACGGAACTAACTACAGCGAAGTATCACGGAGTCAACTGTCGGAGGTTACGCGAAGGTCAAAGGTCTCCGACCTTTGACCTGACGAAATGTACAGTGCGACAGCAAGGACATATAACTGACTCGTTACAGAGCAGTTACCCGAGTCGGCACTGTATCGAACCGCAACAGCAATACAGTTAAAACAGAACCTTTCATATTCCTTGTAATCATATAAAAGGTTGTACCCTTTTTGTTATTATCAACTTACTTTGCCCTCACATACCAGCGCAAGGTGGTTCACAATCTTTTCATTAAACGCTTCCGCTATTACATCATCCTACTCTTGAATTCTGTCCTGCAAAGATCCTAAGGGCTTTCTCAGCCCAACATGGTATCAGAGCAGTCAGGAAAAATTCAACTACGATCAAGATATCTACGACATCTCAAGACATGGCAACGCAGAAGGAGAGAAGCTCCTCTAACGGCTCTCCTGGTACTACTCCTACTCCACCTCCTGCCTCTGGCCTACAGACAGAGGAGGGTACGGCAACAAGACCAAGGGCATCATCTTCGGAAACTCCCGCAAATCAAGCTGCGGCCTTCGATCCAGACATGATGGAGAAGTTCTTCTCCTTTATGTCCTTCTACGAGCAACACCAGCAAGGGGCACCTGCACAGTCAAACAACAGCAACAACAACGCAACACCGATGAGCCTCGACGGTTCATCCTACGCACGTGGAAACCAACAGCAACGGCCTACCTTTGCCCCGTATGAGCCCCAGCGTGGCTCTGTCAGTTTTATGCCACACCCGCAGCCTGCATCCGGACAAGAAAAGACACTGGATGCACTTCAAGTTCAGTCGCAGTTCGCGCACGTCTTAAAACTGCAAACGACAAGGCCTTTCGACGGAAAGGATTTCTTTACCTGGTCATTCGAGTTCGAGTTAATGATGGAAGGCGCGCAGATTCTTGGCTTCTTCGACGGGTCCCTGTCATATCCAACACACGGCACACAGTACGACAAGCAGCAGTACACTTATCAATCAATGATGGCGTACACAATACTGCTGAGAAACATCACTCCAAGTCAGCAACAGAACATACGGTCTTACCGGGGTTACGGCAACTCTGCAGAGCTCGCGTACAACCACCTGAAGAACATGTATCAAGCAACAGACAGCGTAAACCAAAGTCGGTTAATGGCGCAACTGACGACAGTCGAAATGAAACCAGGCGAAAAAGGGATGGCATATATCAGCCGTTGTCGCGAATTGCGTGTTAGAATAGAAACGAGAATGGATGGACTAAGGGAAAGTTGGGTACAAATGTAAACCCTAGAAAACTGTACCCCATATGTGCTACCCCACTATAGCCTACAGTAGTTATGTCATATAAATCTGACACACCCCCATAGGCAAAGTGGGGGAGAACAAGGGGTCACAAGACCAGTCAAGCACAGCAAAGCAAGCTCAGGGTGGATCACAAAGTCACCACACATTCCGAGCACAAGTTCAAGGCCAGAAGGCCAGTTCACATGCAGGATTACATATATATATATATATATAAGGCTAGACAAGCAAGAGCAGGTGTATATATATATGCAACAGTACAAACAAGGTCAAGGGGTGAGCAAGTGAGTCAAGGTAGGCACAAGACCCAGCTGAGTACAGAAGCGCTGATGATCACAAGGCGCAAGTGCCTTGGTGAAGATATCAGCAGTGTTGGCCTGAGAGGCCACGTACGCAAGCCGCAGCTGACCACGCTGCTGTAGCTCACGAGCAAGGAAGTAGCGGAGAGCAATGTGCTTCGTTCTGTGCTCCAGTCTCTGCTCTCGACACAAGGCCAGCATGGCCTTGTTGTCTACGTACAGCACTGGAGGAGAACGAGGCGGCTCTCCGAGGTCAGTCAGCAGGTAGGTGAGCCAGCGAAGCTCCTGTGCAGCCATGGCCCCGGCGTAGATCTCAGCCTCACAACTGGAGCCGAGAACAGAAGACGAGCGGGTAGCCCGCCACGAAACAGAGCCGGAACCAAGGCTGAAGGTGTAACCCTGTGACGACCGCTGCGTAGCCTGGTCGTCAGCCCAAGAAGCGTCTGCGTGCCCAGTGAGGACCACTGGACTCTGCCCTCCAAGCACAAGCCCCATGCCCGACGTACTGCACAAGTAACGCAACACCCTCTTCGCTGCAGCCATGTGCTCCGGTCTGTGTCTCCCAGGAGCAACATAGCGTGCGAGAATGCTAAGAGGGTATGCGAGGTCAGGTCGTGTGCAGGTCATCAGGTACATGAGGCAGCCAACAAGCTCTGGGTACGGGCCACTCGACTCTACGGACTCATCCGAAGGCAGAGCTGAGAGCGAGTGGCGAGTAGGCAGAGGAGTGGCCTGAGGCGAGGAGTACGTGAAGCCGAAGCGCTGAAGGACCTGCTGCACCATGTGTGACTGAGTCAGGGTAATGGTGCGGCGTGCTCTGTCCCGGGTGATCTGCAAGCCAAGGTAGCTGCGCAGTTCACCCAGGTCTGTGCACGTGTGTCTCTTCTGCAGCTCGGACTTCACGTGGGCGAGTCCAGCAGTGTCAGCTGTGGCAAAGACCAAGTCGTCGACGTACACGAGGATGTAGAACGGCGGCAAAGAAGTGTCGGTGCGCAGAAAAAGCGACGGGTCGGTAGTAGAGGGAGCAAACCCAAGAGCCGCAAGTGTAGTCCTCAGTGTGTCGTGCCACTCACGCGGTGCCTGGCGGAGACCGTAGACTGGCCGCCGGAGGCTCCACTGGGTGCCAGGAGGAAAAGACCCAGTGAAGCCAGGTGGGCGACGCAGCCAGATCTCCTCGTGCAGGCTGCCCTGCAAGAAAGCAGTGCTGAAGTCAAGAGAGTGCAGCTCGTAGTCGCGGTGAGCAGCTATGTGCAGCAGTACCCGAAGAGTGGTCATCTTCGGGGTGGGAGAGAAGGTCTGAAAGTAGTCAACTCCCTGCCGCTGACTGAAGCCACGAGCCACGTAACGTGCCTTGAAGACAGGCGGAGAACCCGGCGGTCGCTTCACCCTGAAAATCCACATGCCACTGACGATGTTCGCCCCAGGCGGGGGAACCTCGTCAACGTAGGTGCCTGTGGACTTCCAGGAAGCCATCTCTGTGTCCATAGCTGCCTGCCACTGAGAGGAGTAGGGACCCTCTATCGCCTCCGCGTAAGAGCGCGGAGTCGGGATGTCAAGTGCATCCGGGTCTCCCTCAGGGGTAAGCAGTACGGACACGAGATGAGGTGAAGCAGCAGCCAAACACTGGAACTCCTCCTGCCTGTCCTCAAGGACGTCCGTGCCAAGGGCACACTCACCCCCGACGGACGGAGGACAGACAGACTCAGACGCAACGACAAGACTAGCAGCGTAGTCTAGACGACAGCGAGCAGCAAAGTCGACGAGCTCAGCAACTAGGGCAGACGCAGCAGTGGACTCAAAGGAAGGGTCAGTGACGACAGTAGCAAGGAGACGCGTGACAGTAGGACTGGCAGCACGAAGAGAGTCCGACTCCGGGTCGGGAAGAGCAGGAAGAGAGGACTCAGGAGGAGAAGGCAAAGGGGCACGCAGAGGAGCAGTGGACGGACGCAGAGACATCCGGTGCGTGCCAGGGACAGGAGGAGGACGCTGACGCGAACCACGGCCACTAGTGCGAGCAAGACGGACAGGCGACGCAGGGCGAGACGCAGGCTCACGACGCTCAGCCAGACCTCCAGTAGGACCAGTGTAGGGAGAAGGAGCGGGCAGTGTGAAGGCCGGCTGTAACTGTAACTGGGACGAGACAGGCTGTGGACACTCTAAGGGAGGAGGAGGACCAGTAGAAGGCGGGAGACCAAGAACCTGCTGAAGGAGCGGAACGAAGTACGGCCGAGGCCGCGCGGCGACTCCAGACACAGCAGGGACAGCACCAGTA